CAGGTAACAAGGTGCTCTATAGTCGCGGTGATCCCCCTTCTCGCTATGTACTTCCTGTGGGATGGATGCGACTCGGTTTGAAAGTACACGAAGGTTTTGCGGAAAGTAATGATATATTTAGAAAATGGCATGCTTCCTATCATGGAACCACAGCAAGTAACTTAGAACCTATATTTCGCGGTGGTCTCCAATTACTCAAGCCGGGCGACGTAGCTTTAGGCGGTACATCCATAGGTGTCCGATCAGGTCACATTCCAAAAATGGTTCACCGGAAAAATCTCTATACTGATAGCGATGAAGAATTTGATATTAATCAAGTCTTCACTTCACCATCTATTCGTTACTCATCACATCCTGCTTATGCACAACAGTTCATCGTCAACCATCCACATCGATCAGGCGTACGTATCGGCATGCGATTTGTATTTCAATGCCGCCAACGTCCTGGCTCGTACAAGATCGGTCAAGAAACTGTCGGTGCACGCGATTTAAAACTAGATCCTCATTTTGATAACAAGGAACTCGAGTGGTATACGAAAGAAAATGCTGGAGTGGTTTTATGTGGTCTTTGCGTACAACTTCGTTATATAAAAAGTAGCTAACATCCGAGGAACACCGAATAGCATTCTTTTTTTCTAATAAGCATGAGTGGACGATACCATATCCAAGCACACTACTCAAGGATACTGATATACACGAATTTGTAGACGAGATTGGAGTTTTTTTAATGGTTACAATTAGTAATAAAAAGTTTTTTCAACAACGAAGTTCTATTAGGATTCGGCTATAACTGCGAATATATCTCTTCAAAGTCAGGAGCGTTGTAGACTAATTAAACACGTTCAAGACTTCATCAAAAGCAAATAGAGCATGTTTCAGAACGAGGTTGCCATAGAAGTGCTTTTTTGATCTACTCAAACAGATAAGCATTTCGAATCCTAGTAGTTCCACTGAATGAATTTTTGAAATGTAATGTACACCGAGACTAACTCGACATCGAGCACATCATCCGCCGGTTATTCAGTTCGCTTCTGGTGTTATTTTTTTGCCGATCTTTTCTCACTGATCGGTGGCATCCTTGATCGGTATTACCTCCTTTCATATCAAAACTTTTGGTATTCGTTACATCATATATTTTGCTTTCATTCATTTTCATCCACTTTGTAAAAGTTCGTTCGTTGCATTTCTAGTCGGTGGTATCCATGTTTCATGTGTTTTCTATCATACGACAGCTGACATGTAGAATCTCATGTTTCATCAAGTCCTTTCGAGTATAGTTATTGTTTCATTTAACGTCGCATTCATCACCCATTCGGTTTTACAGAAGAAAAGTTTATCTCACAACAGCGAATAGAAAAAATATCGAACAATGATTATACAGTTGCTAATGATTTCAACAGTCTTCATTGCCTTCAACGGTTCTTGAGTGTTGGTTATCTTTTCCTTCCAACACGGTTCACTATAATATCGATCGCCAATGTAGTACCAGTTTATACGAACTTTCTTTACTGTTATGTAGCATTTGTTTGTTATTCGTCATTGCCTGAATTGCGCACGTAAGCGAAGGAATATTGATCTGTTGTACCCGTTTTCAAAGCAAACCAGCCAATACTGCTAACACAACACGAACTGTGACGAAAGGTTAAATCTGAACTAAGGACCATTCGGCGTATGAATATATCAAGGTTATTCGTTCAGTAATAAATAGATAATTCCTCTGCGCAGTTATACCTCCATACTATTTCCACCAGATTCATTCGAATATGCACATGCGTCGATCAATCACTCATCAAATAAAAGAAAAAAACAATTATTAAGATTGGTTTTTTATTAGAACTAATGACTATGTGAGAAAAATTTGTTTATGTCATGTTTTTTTTAATAATAGGAGCCATACTTGAAAATAATTAAAGATTTTTGGTCGTCATCACTTTTTCTCCTTAATTTGTGTATCTAAAAGAAACGGAAGATAAAAACAATATCATAACGTCACTAGGCCTCATTAGAGCAATTTCACGACATAATAACCTTGCCTCTCCTCCCTAAAATGACGTATGATCAAAATGACCGTATAAATACTTTCAACTTTTGCATCCAAGTCAGTCATTTGGAATAAAAATATTATATCGAACAAACATGTTTGGTGGACATGGGCATGGACATGGACTTGGAGGCTTCGGTGGTGGTAATCCTTTATCTGGTGGAATGATGGAAATGGCTTCAGACTGGGCTATCAACCGATATGTTCCAGGAGGCTTACATAGTAAGTGATAAGAACACTTTCGTTGTTATATTTATGTACAATTGTGTCTCTTCGAGGTCCGATGGGTATGATGCTTGACAATATGATTGGTGGAAATCCAAATGGAGGATATGGTGGACAAATGGGAGGATTTGGTGGACCCATGGGAGGATTTGGCGGACAAATGGGAGGTTTTGGTGGAGGAATGCCCGGTGGATATGGAGGTCCAAGATTTTTTTAACCGCAAAATAAAACTTACTTGTTGATGATAATTCATCGAGAAGAGAATCTGAAATATAACTATCATGACTTTTCATAATACAACATTCATGATCACTCTCAAGACACATTTGCGTAAAGAATAGAACCATAGAAATGTAATCATTGTATACGTATTTCTCTGTGTTCTTCTCCGGCATGCTCAACGAAGCAAAAATACACCATTCGTAATGAAAACATATATCACCTTTTTTCTCTTTCTTCTGTTCTTCACCGTTTGCCTAGAAAAATTACATTTGTATGAGGCCATAAATATACTTCAATCGATCATACAGAGTCACGCAGTAGAAAAATAATCGAACTGTCTGGATTATGTTGATCTTAAAAGTGATATCGTTCTTTATGCTCATCGGCGGTTATGTTTTGCAACAGACTCAATCTCACGTAAATATGAAATTAGTCTAGATACTCTGCTCTCTCATTACTTTCATTTCATCAGATAAGACACTCAGCCGAACTGAAATTATCTAATACAACTTCAACTAAAGTCTTGATCATCGGTGCTGGTATATCGGGCTTAGAGGCAGCTCGTTTGCTAGAACAGAACGGAATTGAGACAATTGTTCTCGAAGCACAGAACCGAACAGGTGGTCGAGTTTATTCAAGGGGATCAAAACACGGCTTTATGCTTGATATGGGTGCACGTTATATTCATGGCACTCGCGGTTCTATTCCGTCTGGTTTCCTAACGAATCCATTGTGGGATTATACTCAAGAAGTAAACATTCCTCTGTGTACAACAGGAGATCACGATTTTCTTGGACTCTATCCACCTAGTGATAAATTTACTCTCGCTAATGTTCAAAGCTGGTATGATGAGTACCTGACGTTCGTACGTGAAGAAACCAGATTCGCATCGTTACCAAATAGTTCTTTTGCCTATTACATCGATTTATTTTCTCAACAGAAAAACTTCACTTCAGATCAACGAGATGTGCTTTATGACTTGACATTTTTTATAATTGCCGATCGAGAAGGTGCAGAACTGGAAGCTATCGATGCGAAAAGTTATTTGGATATAACATCGATAAATTATGGTGAAGAGCCTGTCATTTGCGACACAGGTTTTATGACCATTACCAATCACTTAGCAAAAGGTCGCAAAGACATCCGTTTGAAACAAATCGTGTCCAAAGTCAACTACACGAATACTCTCATCGATGTATGGACAACCGACGGGCAAGTTTATCGAGCAGATTACGTATTAATAACCGTCTCATTGGGAGTATTGAAATCGAATACAATTGAATTTTATCCATCTCTTCCTCAATGGAAACTGAATGCTATCAATAGGATTGGATTCGGATATTACGAGAAGATTTATTTATTATGGGAACAGCCTTGGTGGAATTTTACGAATTTTTATTTCTTTCGACCCGCACCTATCAATTCGACTGGATTACGATTTTGGGTCAGCGCCAACAAATGGAACGGTGTACCAAGTCTGATGTGTACTTTTTCTGGCAAAACAATATCTCTGTTGAAATGGAAAGAAAATGAAAATATGATCGTACAAGAAATCCAAGATTCAATTCAAAAAATGTTTCCTCAAATAGCTATTCCTACACCAACGGAAATTTACATGAGTAACTGGAATGAAGATGTATATTTTCGTGGATCGTATTCATTCATTTCCATCGATCAGAAGCTAGACGATCCATTACGTTTATCAGAACCAGTTGAAAATCGTTTGTTATTCGCCGGAGAAGCAACGAGTTCGGATAATTACGGTTATTCACATGGTGCTTTACTTACTGCGCGACGAGAAGTGACTCGTCTGCTTTATGTTTACAATCTATTGCCAAAACAAAACATAACTACGTCTGAATCTACGAAGACTACCTCAACTAACACATTTCTCTTAGTTACTTTTCTGTCTTTTCAATTGTTGATACTCGAATTAGGATAACTATTTAGAAATAGAAACTCATCAGATGATTCCGTCATGAATCAAACGAATTCACGAAATGCACGAACATATTTCTTTTCAATCTCCATCGTTGTCGTCGTCACAAGGTATAGTAGTTTGTAATCAACCATCTTGAGGGTGAAGGTGTCGTTAGAAATCGAAGATTTCTTTAACAGCAAAGCATTACTAGCCAATACATCTATGAGCTCTGTTCCACTTCAATTTCTCGTCTATAGTTATACTCCACCAACCAGTTGTTCGGCTCCAGTACCGTCTATCATTGGTAATGGACCGATTCGAGGTAATTGATTGTGTGATTTAATACAAGATTACTCCTCTCGTTTTCTTGTAACTTCCGTTGGTGTTATGCCTGGTGACAATATCAGCGAAACTGTCGTTGCCCAAGTGAAATGCTCTGGGAAGAGTACTATCGACTTTGTTATCCAGTGTCCCAGTCGGTGCGATGAATAGTTCAATTCAAAGCCCAAGCACTGGTTACTACATGCCGAGGTCGCAAACTTTGTTTCTTCTATATTTCATTCCTAGCTGTATCTACTTCATTACTCTTCAATGGTTTCAACTGCTAGTCAATATGGTCCAAAAGGCGTTTGTATGGGTGCCACCGATAATGCTCAAACTCAATCGAATCAATGGTGTATTACATTTCTTGTTAAATTCAAGTCATTTGATGTTATCAGACCAACGATAGTCCAAGGGTCGCGGCTTCTCCAATCAATACTGTATTTCAAAGTCAAACAGTCTTCTCTATCGAAAGTATGATCTATGCTCCTGTTTTTCATTTTGATAAAAACCTTGTCTCGGTTTTTTAGCATCGATCTCTATCAACCGCCCAACACGTAACGGTGCTTGTATCTACCTTCGAACTGTTGTCGTTCGTTTTTCTGTCGCCCCATGAATTCCTGGCCATTTCTATTATGTTATTTTCGACAATAGTAGGTCATATGGATTTGCTACATTTTCAAATTCTATTATATTCTTATCAGATTTTAGGTATGGATAGTAGTATAAACAAAGGTCCCGAATCGGTACTGAGCAATGATCCAACATTCTGGGTATTCAACATCTGAAATCCTGCTTTATCATCAACAAAAAAGACAACGACTACTCCGCTTACCTCTGGAACAGTAACAAGAAAACTAATATCAACGTTTTGATAAATATATCTATTTGTCTGTTCTCTTTCATAATTAACTACAGCTCGCAAGAGAGAATCACTGAATATACAGTTGCTGTTCTCTATCAAAAAGATTTCCTAAATAGTGATAATATCATCCATTTTGATTTGTGATAGGAACTTCTCTGCATGCAATCAAATGCCATCCTAGCCACTACTTTCCTTGCTGTTTTCATGCCCATCAATGCTATAACTCTGTATGCCACTTTTACTGAACTCTTCCACATCTTTAACCCGTCGAATGTTACTTTATCGATAATAAGAGATCCCATGCGTCGAATCAAAATCTTCTCAAATCATGCGTCTGGTTTACAAGATGAATGAAAGCGCGCAGGGAATGCAAAGGAGTTATCTTGTAGGAACCGACAGAATCTGTATGTACGCAGATAAACGTATCTTTCGTTGCTTTCTTTGAAAAATACTCTCTGACGTCGATAGACGTTCATTAAATCTAAGAGGTTTAAAAAAAGAGTAGCTGTAGGATAAACTTTACACGTAATAACGAAAACTGTTATTGTCTTGAGACGTTGTTGATGGCGTCATTCGGTACTAATATGTCTGGAAGGTTTCTACTATCAGATGAACAGTGAAGAAAAGCTAATTATACGGCAAACGTTTAATGCCAATCAGCTAGAATTATCATATGGAAAACACAATTATATCTCGAATTAACTTGAACCGATAGATTACTGTCTTAGTCTATGCAACATCCAAAATATGATTGCATATTATTTTAGAAGCGGCATATGCGCATTGCAAGAATAAAAAGTCAACAACTTTGTTGCTATATATGTAAGTGAACAGCCGTAGAGACACGACACAGAACACTTCGTCTTCCGCAAGAGTTTAACTAGAAGAAATTATTGCAATTAATAAAGTTATTTTGCATGTTGGTTGTGATCAAGGACATGACGCAGTTTAGTTTAAGTATATTACTTGAAAACAAACGTGCTTTTTTATCGACATTAAAGTTCGAATAATATTAAACAGGTGCTGTAGATAACAGCGTGCATTGGATGAAGCAGACATATTTTCTTTTTTCAGATTTAATTGAAATGCCAATTCAGATTTTCCCGTGTTCCAAGTAATTTTTTGTTTCTGTCCGTGTGAAACATCTTCAGCGTGTATACTCTCTAACAGTTGGAGAAAATATATAAATGGCATCGAAGGTCGAATCATGGTTTATTCCCATGGATATTTTCATGATTATCTGCGTTCTTCTCGTCATCATACTTGCCATTACGTTCCTAGTTATAATTATTACTGATCGATTGTTCCATAAAGTTTCAATGCTATTGATTGCTAATTCTTGTTTAGCTGAACTTCTATTCAGCAGTGATTTGTTCGGTATGGCTCTATTTACCCTAAAAAATGATCTTGAACGGAAGGAGTCGGAACACATAATATGCATTGTACAAGGTTACGTCAGTTATGTTGGTTATTCTTTACAGAACTATTGCTTTTTACTGCAAGCATTCTATCGGTTCATGATCGTGATCCATCCAACACATCTGTACTATCAAACAGCCAAATTTCAACTAATTCTCATCGGTACTGTATGGATATTTTCTTTTTCTTATGCCATTCCAATTCTCTATACCGGTCAGCTTAAATATAATGTTGCCAATCAAATATGTCAAATGCCTCTTGGATTTTCGTTCTATGGAGTTTATACAGCTTTGTGTATTTATGGTATTCCCATATCGTTGATTATGGGTGCTTACACGAAAGTCGTTCAATACGTAAGAAAACTAAACAAGCAAGTATCATCAACCAATCTTGTGTATCGTGCAGAACGGGAATTGAAAATGATCCGACGCATCGTTATTATTGTGTTGATCATAGTAGTCATTGGTTTTCCCTATGCAGTGTTCAGTTTTATGGCGTTTTTTGTTGATCCTCCTGAATACTATCTTCGCATCGCTTTTGCTTGTGTTGACATGTCATTGCCAATGATGATGATTACTCTCCTCCTGTTTACAGAACCACTCAAAGCGGCCATACTGAAAAGATTACACGTCAAAATGAATCTAATCACGGCCGTAGCGATTTAATTAACATGTATCAGTATCAAAGAAGAATGTGCGGTATGACAATAGTTTCGACCCATGCTAGAGAAATTTTACAAGCATTTTTAAATAAAGCTCTACAAGACGAAAGTTGACAAGCTAAATATTGCTGAATATTCTGCTGTGAATCTATGAACCACAGTAGCGGTATTCGTTGTCTAGTACATTTGATGGAGATGCCGAAGAGCGGATGAAAAGCAGTAAAAGAAGTGAAGCCCGTACTGCTCCAACTTTTTTTTGTTGGCGTATTAGTTGATACAGTATGTTCCAATATCGCGAAGAGCATTTGAAATGATGGCAACGAAACAGACGCTCACATGCGTATACAAAATAATGAAGACCATATTGCTTTTCACTTCCGTACGATTTGAAAGCAAAGTGCACTGATTTTATCATGAATAACAAGCCAACGCTTTGATAAAAAAAATCGATAGATAGAACATGTTGCGCCCTCTTTTCTTCTTACGAAAAATTTCGTCGTTGGCTGTTCTTTTGCTTCAGTCAAGATCGAATAAAAATTGACGCTTCTCAACCACTCATATTTTCCAATATACTTGTGAATGAAATATCCGATGTCGGATTAACAGAAGAGAAAAATCTCTTGTGTTTTTTATTTATTCCCTTTCGTCTTTTAGATCGTATTTGATAAATGCATCGTACCTGTTCGTTTTGTTGTCTTTTCTTAACGATGATCTTTATTAACTTGCAACTGTCGTGATCACATACTTGATATTTTCTTTTAAAAGATTTCAATAGATATGACACACGGTCAGAATACTAATCAACAGTTACGAGAAATGAACGAGTCAATATTGACTCATTTATTCCTTCCATATCACCTACCTTCATCGTCAGATGCAGATTTCTGTCTTCAATCGAATCACCGATACGAATATGTGATACTCGAATGTATGTCGAGGTTTTTAACGTCGTGTACAATCGACAATGATCAGATCATCTCGCCTATAATCGAAACTTTAATCACTTGTACACAACGATGGCATTTGCTACAGAAAAATCTTTCAATAACGAATCTCAAATCGACATTTGAGCAATTACACCCCGGTGATTTCCTTCCACTATATTTTCATGCCCAAAATGCTGCCATTCTGATTGAGATTGATGAAAATAATAGTCATCAACCGTCAATATCGTCTTGGCAAGTCTCGTTACCAACTGAGAAAATTAGTTCGTCGCTGCAATCACATCAAGCTTGTTTTCCGGTGAATGTTTACCGTCTTTCCGAGCGTTCTTGCCTCACTTCGACCGCTCATTGTGAATTACTACTCGACTTTATGAAAAATCCAATTGAATACTCGAAATCCTACAAAATCTCTCGTGACGTTCCTTTCTCTCATTATGTTACACAATGGTACATTCAACAATTTCCAAACGTTACATTAGATAATAGCTGCAAGCATACGATTGAATTTACGAAGAAATTTCGTGATCAGATTCGATGGAACAATGGTGCATTACCTTTCCGACGTTCAGGTCTATGGCTGACGACGAAAGTTGTATTCGAAACGATCTTAACAAAACGTTTAGGAAAACATGGAATTCTTGTTTACAAACTATTGATAACACATTTTTTAACTGATATGATTTACACCAAAGAGTCATCGATGGATTTGCTTGTTCATGCTATACGAAAAATTCTTCGTCGACTGAATAAANCTCAACCATGGTCGCTTGCAATTGAACATATTCCGTTCCCGGTATATGATATGTTGTTATCATCAAATCCTTTTCAGCTTGGATTTCCGCTTGACGGTGACTTTTAAGTAGTTGGACTTGAGTCTGTTCATTTTTAAGATTTTGTTCCAGTTCTCGGCAACGCTGTTTGATCTGATCCATTTCGTTCATTGCCGATTTAAAAATCTTCTCTTGTTTGTCATACTCGTTCTGTAGCATCAGAAAGTCTTCCGATATTGGTGGATTTGATAGCGAGTCGCACAATTGCCGGATTAAAGATTCTTTTGTTTCAATGTCCTTTTTCTTACTTTCCAGATCTTTTAATAAAGTACGTTCGCGTTCAACGATTTGATCATATTGCTTTATCCGAGCAAGCTCACGATCCAAATTCTGGCGCGTTTCTCGAATATTATTCTGAAGATTTTCCACTAGTGATGAATCAGTTGTTTCACTAACGTCGTGACTTGTTTCGTCGTCACTATTAGCATTCAGTTCCACGTCCGTGGTAGGCACTACAACTGACATTTGTGTGCTTTCAATCTCTTCCTCTTTATCTTCTGTAGCATTGTCAATGAAACGATCTGGAACGTCAGCCATCAGGTCGTCTGCTGCAACATTATACTCAGTAATGTCACTCAAATCATTACTTGTAGTAAGAGTCGATGAAAGCTCGCGAAGGAGTTTGTTTCGTAAAGGTATCGGAGGGTCATTTTGAAAAGTAGTTGTTTGAAAATTATCAATTGGTTTGATACGTTTTGTTCTCGAGTCAACATTAACAAACTTTGGTATCCATCGAATATACCCCTGAATCGTTTTCGTCTCATCGTTGAAAGAAAACAATTCCAAATTTACATGAATTTTTCCAAACAGACGCGTATTGATAATACAGTATCGAACACGTTGATCGATCGCATCGTCGAATAAGTTGCCAGTGATGTCATCTGCGTTGTACCAGGAATTAAGACGGTATCGCAATTGATTCGAATCGAATAATGCTGGTATATCGACAGGTTTCGTTTTTGCTTCTTTGTGCGATTCTTTAGACACAGAGGGATGCGAAATAAGCATCATTTGCCAGAGACATTGAACATCGAAATTGTATAGATTTGATCCACGACAACGAATCCATTTGACATTCTGGTCTGTGCCGTCTTCCACGAGAAATTTCATCATTGACACAGAATATGCTCCGTCGTGACGACTCACATTGATGTTTGTATCAGATTTATCACGTAAACTGGTATTCAATTGTCCAGATTCGTTTTCATCAAAGTACTGCCAATTTTGTTCATGTAATAGTTTAAATTCCCAAACGCAGACCGGCTGCAAAGATTTTAAATCGTAATTAATTGATAATAACTTATTCTGGATTGTCATTGTTGGTAAATCAATTCTCTTAGCGCATTTTCCCGTGTAATCAAGAACAAGATGATCGCTGAAGATTTTGTGCAAGTCAGCATAATTGTTGGCAATCATGGTGGGTGTTTCCTTATTTTTATTTTCTATGTAGCAGTTTGCACCTTGACTAAGAAGGTAACGAACTATGTCTGCATGTCCTTTGATACACGCCGCATGCAAAGCTGTATCAACATCTGTACATTTATCGTTTTGATTTTGAGCATTCACTGAACATTTAGCTTCTTCAATTAAATATTTAATCACGTCTAGATGATTGTTCGCCGTTGCCACATATAGTAATGTATATCCATGTAATAAAGGTCGATCTTTAGAGAATGGATCTTCCGTAAGAAATGTCTTAACCATAGTGATGTCTCCTTTTTCTGCTCCGTTGAAAGCTTCGATGGATTGAATAAAAACTGGTAATTTTTGTTCAAATATCGAAAGAATATCTACGCTAAATGGTTCAACGAATCGATCGTCAACAAAATGAAACTCATAGAGAAAATCTAAGAAATAATTGTATGTAACTTGGTCGTAATTAAACTCGTGCCGCAATTGGCTAACGAGTTTTTGTACATCTTGGGCAGCCTCTGTAAATAATACATTGACCTTCTCGGATGGCGAGAATAAATCGAACTCGTCGGGATTGCAAACAGTTACAAGCGATGAGCTTGCATTTAATTCTGGTTCACCATCATTCTCTTTGATAGATTCTTTCACCTTGTTCAGAGTCGATTGAACATGAACTAGTATTGTTTTACAAGTTTTTATAAGCTCATCATAGAACAGCGTACCACTCATTGTCTACAAAGAAGAAAAGAGACAACATGTAGGTTTTGATTCGCTTTTGACAAAAAAAACACCACTGAATACGATCTGTTATCTAATCTTTAGTGTTTGCGTGTAAAGAACAGAATGAAATTCTCATGAAGAGTAATATAATTTGTTTTTGAGAGTAAGCGTCAATCTGTATGGGTAACATGTCACTCCAGTGAGGTGAACTGAAAATCAATATCTTCAGAAACCATTCCGAACATACTATCGAATTGTACTTCGAGCTTTCATGGCCTGAATTAAAAAAAATATATCTATACGAATGCGTTAATCAGTAGAACTTTTTCTGATGAGTTTCATAACGTACAGAAATTTAACCCCAAAATATTTCTACCTACATCCGAATTTTATGTCAACTACTTCGCTTTTAATAATCTCTCGAAAGGTCTTAATCTATACTATTTTCATTCAGACAAAAGTGGATTCTAGTCATTGCTGCGACGTATACATACGAATAACTATGATGATGATGGTAGTATTGGTACTATGAGAAAGAGTTTTGTTTTATAAGGAACAGATTCTACGAGAACATTTTGCAATGATTAGAATAACTAAAGTAAACAGGAAGGCCTTAACTATTCATTCGATATCACAGTTACTGTTTTCGTTCTGTCTCGTTTATATAATCCAATCAGAGAATGGATAAAAAGGTTTATTCCAACGTCCTGGTGAGTGATTTATAGGCATTACTCATTCTAAAAGACAAACATTCGGTTTTTAGTGCTTAAAACACTAGAGAAGAAAGAAATATTTGTATGAAAACGGTTATACACTTGAAAATTTCCAAACTTATGCAAGTCGATGCAGCAAACACACGTGATTCGATCACAAAATAAACATTCAGCGATATTTCGCCATAAGATTAAAATTCAGTTTTCCATAAGTGGTGAAATGACTGCTTTGGTTTCTTTGAAGAAAATTTTATGTATATATTGCCAATTCTGTAGACAATGCTTGTATAGCACATATTCAATCATGACTCAATAGCAAGATCAATTAAAATATAATTTACAATTATAATGACAGTAACAACAAACGTGGATAAATACGAAATCAATTCTTGTTCGATTTAACGTACATTGCCAATTCAATTCTTGTCAAACTGTTCCGCAAATGTTATTTGATAAATTTCGAACTATGTAAACAGTGCAATAAAAGATAACAACTGATGATTATGGTCAATCATTGTCATAAATCGATTTTCTTTTATTCGTATTCTCCACTGTATTTACCATCTATTACTGATTGACAATATTGAGTGTACTAAAATACATTCAGAACAACAGATGCGGTTTAGAAAAAGAAAAGTAAAACTATCATATGTAGACATAAATAGCTTCAATTGAACTCGATTCCATTTCGCTTATAGTTGGTAGTAATAGTATTAGTCGTGATCAATTTCTGACCTTCATTTGTGAACATCGCTGCTTATAGCCCATACACGAAGAAGGACTGATTGTGTGTCTGGCACAAAAATAGAAATAATCTCATGACTAAAGTGACTCGTATCTAAGAAACATCTGCCTACTAAATTATTGATTTTGTTTTGTTCTTTCATTGAATATTGATGTCCGATCATTTAACTCGAAGAAAATATTGCATGATAAAGATTTTCCTTTCAAGTTACGAAAATAATGATATAATTATTAAGTCATAGCATCGAAATATAAGAACGGAAAGAATTATGAAAAATACAAAATGAATAAATCATCGATACTTAAGATACACACATATATGTCGTAGGCCAATGTAAGATTCAGGCCAATCCAGGATTGGCCTAGGCTATTCTCAGATCCTGGTTTGGCCTAGTCTAAATTAGGATTAACTCAAAATCTTGGATTAAAGTTCGTTTTTGAACCCTATGGTATTTTCCGATTTTCTTTTCACTATTCGAATGCTGTAGCTAAGTAGATATCTTTTCGATGTATACTATCGATTCCGACACAAAATTGTTTAGTTAAAAAGTTATCGGCAGTTTTCTGCAGAACTTGTACGTTCAGAAGTCAACGCTTCTAACATCTTCCGTGCATCCCACAGTGATATGAAACTCGCTGATATAGATAATGGTAGTATATCATGAAACCTTAAAACTATTTGATGCGTAATCTGCCATTGGCTTCAGGCAAAAAAATGAGTTTTGATCCAAAATTTTTAAGTTAATCCTAGTTTAAATCAGGCCAAACCAGGATCTGAGAATAGCCTAGGCCAATCCTGGATTGGCCTGAATCTTACATTGGCCTACGACATATACATCACATTCGATAGAAATGTAAAATACAGTACAACACTGATAATTGCTTCCTAGTATTGTTGACTCATACAGACCATCTTAAAGGACTAATCCAAGTGTTAAACATTAATATGATGCTTCATCGTTTCGAAAATCTCATAAACCCTAACTCCACATAAACTCAACAGCAAGATAATGACCGAATGTTGAAACATGAAACGGAAGTATAAGCTGACGGTGAGCTAATTATAATGTATCAAAGTACAGATCAGATAAGCAAAAAGGATATACACTCTATCTCACACCCACAACTCACCATCATATCCTCGTTGTTGATTGCAGCAAAAGAAGTATTTTTATGCGGTAATAATAATTAAGTCAGTAAAAACGAAACTTTCACTAGTTTTCATCTATGTTTTCGGTGATATACATATATGAGATGTGCTTGTGCACCAATCGTTGATATCTTCTCATCCAAGCAGCAACAAGATTTATAGATGTTACATTTACCATTTAGGTTAGATAAAAACATGATAAACTGTTATCAGAGAACGTTTTTCGGTGTTTCTACTTCGCTTTTTGAATAAATAAATAACAAAAGAAGTCATCGACGAAAACATACAGTATTGCGAATAAGAGAAAAACACTTGTGTGACATATGCGTGTTTCATCACATGTTCTTTTTCATGTAGAAATGCGTCTGATTTTAGCGATAAGTTTCGAGTAATGTGTTTTTAAGCTATTGATCGTAAAAGTTATAAGTATAAATCATATACGTACATGAGAAAAGCTTTATATAGACATACTTATATTATTTTTATGATAGATTGATATTCGTGTTCGCGAATGAAAGATTGTTTTGTATTTCCTTATTTGCTCTTTTAGAATGGCGTCTACTGTTAGTTCTTCTCGTGGTAAAGCAAAAGTTCGAAATTTTGCTAAATCCGATGGTTCTTTCGCCTGGGACTTCAGGAACGCTTATACATATCGACCATCTGTTTTATCTCGAATCACTAGCAACAAATATTCTCCTACGAGTGATCCAGATCGTTTTCGCATAAACGACGCTGTAGAAGTGAATGGTACAAATATCAATGCAAATGATACAGAATTCTGGAGCGCCATATTTAGTGACGAATTTGTGCAGAGATTAGAGGGAGTTTCCATTGAGTGCGATGGTGAAATTCTACATTTGATAATCCCCTATCTTCACGATCTATGTAAAGCTCCACCATGCCTCTGCACACCATTTAATTTTGATGTGTCATATGGCTCCGGAGTATGTTTAAAAGAAGATTATCCGCAGATGCTATCCATCATAGCATCTCTTATTCGCCAGAATCGTTTAGTCACTGTGTGTCTCCCAAACCATGACGAGTTTGAAGAGTATTTTGAAGACGATCCAGAAAAATATTTACACCATTATCTGGAAATTACAAATGCAATTACTGTCACTCAATCAATGATATCTTTACGGTGGCTTTGTGGAATAAAGCGTATAGAAGACTGGAGTGAAAAAAAACCATGGCTAAAAGAATCAACACAAGCTATGTTAGCTGCACTTGAGAAAAATATTTCGCTCACCGAAGCTGGTTTTTACGGTATGACTGACTATTATGGTTGGGATGATATAATTGTTCCGCTACTTGCTCGTAATAAAGCACTACCCGGCATGAACGCAGCGGTAGCTGCTGGTAAGGTGGATGGTGAATGGGATGACAGCTGTCCAGCTGACCTAGTGCGTCAACTGATCGCAGCTAAATTCAACTTACATCGCTCTTTTTTCAACCCATCGGGTGATATGTGTTTTTGTGAGTCATGTCATAGAAAATCAGGTAATAGGGTGCTCTATAGTCGCGGTGATCCCCCTTCTCGCTATGTACTTCCTGTGGGATGGATGCGACTCGGTTTGAAAGTACACGAAGGTTTTGCGGAAAGTAATGATATATTTAGAAAATGGCATGCTTCCTATCATGGAACCACAGCAAGTAACTTAGAACCTATATTTCGCGGTGGTCTCCAATTACTCAAGCCGGGCGACGTAGCTTTAGGCGGTACATCCATAGGCGTCCGATCAGGTCACATTCCAAAAATGGTTCGCCGGAAAAATCTCTATACTGGTAGCGATGAAGAATTTGATATTAATCAAGTCTTCACTTCACCGTCTATCCGTTATTCATCACATCCTGCTTATGCACAACAGTTCATCGTCAGCCATCCACATCGATCACGCATACGTATCGGCATGCGATTTGTATTTCAATGCCGCCAACGTCCTGGCTCGTACAAGATCGGTCAAGAAACGGTCGGCGCACGGGATTTAAAACTATATCCTCATTTTGATAACAAGGAACTCGAGTGGTATACGAAAGAAAATGCTGGGGTGGTTTTATGTGGTCTTTGCGTACAACTTCGTTATATAAAAAGTAGCTAACATCCGGCGAACACAGAATAGCATTCTTTTTCTAATAAGCATGAGTGGACGATGCCATATCCAAGCACACTACTCAAGGATACTGATATACACGAATCTGTATACGAGGTTAGAGTTTTTTTAACGATTACAATTAGTAATAAAAAGTTTTTTCAACAACGAAGTTCTACTAGGATTCAGCTATAACTGCGAATATATCTCTTCAAAGTCAGGAGCGTTGTAGACTAATTAAACAAGTTCAAGACTTCATCAAAAGCAAATAGAGCATGTTTCAGAACGAGGTTGCCATAGAAGTGCTTTTTTGATCTACTCAAACAGATAAGCATTTCGAATCCTAGTAGTTCCACTGAATGAATTTTTCAAATGTAATGTACACCGAGACTAACTCAACATCGAGCACATCATCCGCCGGTTATTCAGTTTGCTTCTGGTGTTACCTTTTTGCCGATCTTTTCTCACTGATCGGTGGCATCCTTCATCGGTATTACCTCCTTTCAGATCAAAACTTTTGGTGTTCGTTACATCATATATTTTGCTTTCATTCATTTTTATCCGCTTTGTAAAAGTTCGTTTGCTGCATTTCTAGTCGGTGGTATCCATATCTCATGTGTTTGCTATCATACGACACTTGACATGTGGGATCTCATGTTTCGCCAAGTCCTTTCGATTATAGCTATTGTTTCATTTAACATCGCATTCATCCGCGCCCTTTCAGTTTTACAGAAAAAAAGATTATTTCACAACAGCAGATAGAAAAAGCATCGAAAAATGATTATAATACAGTTGCTAACGATTTCAACAGTCTTTATTGTCTTCAACGGCTCTTGAGTGTTGGTTATCTTTTCCTTCCAGTAAGGTTCACTAATATCGATCGCCAATGTAGTACCAGTTTATACGAACTTTCTTTACTATTATGCAGCATTTGTTTGTTATTCGTCATTGCCTGAATTGCGCACGTAATCGAAGGAATTGATCTGTTGTACCCGTTTTCAAAGCAAATCAGCCAATACTGCTACCGCAACATCAACAACACGAACTGTGACGAAAGGTTAAATCTGAACTAAAGACCATTCGGCGTATGAGTATATCAAGGTTGTTCGTTCAGTAATAAATAGATAATTCCTCTGCGCAGTTATACCTCCATACTATTTCCACCAGATTCATTCGAATATGCACATGCGTTGATCAATCACTCATCAAATAAAAGAAAAAAACAATTATTAAGATTGGTTTTTTATTAGAACTAATGACTATGTGAGAAAAATTTGTTTATGTCATGCTTTTTTTGAATAATAGGAGCCATACTTGAAAATAATTAAAGATTTTTGGTCGTCATCACTTTTTCCTCTTAATTTGCGTATCTTAAAGAAACGGAAGATAAAAACAATATCATAACGTCACTAGGACTCATTAGAGCAATTTCACGACATAAGAACCTTGCATCTCCTCCCTCAAGTGACGTATGATCAAAATGACCGTATAAATACTTTCAACTTTTGCATCCAAGTCAGTTATTTGGAATAAAAATATCATATCGAACAAACATGTTTGGTGGACATGGGCATGGACATGGACTTGGAGGCTTCGGTGGTGGTAATCCTTTATCTGGTGGAATGATGGAAATGGCTTCAGACTGGGCTATCAACCGGTATGTTCCAGGAGGCTTACATAGTAAGTGATAAGAACACTTTCGTTGTCGTATTTATGTACAATTGTATCTCTTCGAGGTCCGATGGGTATGATGCTTGACAATATGATTGGTGGAAATCCAAATGGAGGATACGGTGGACAAATGGGAGGATTTGGTGGACCAATGGGAGGATTTGGTGGACAAATGGGAGGTTTTGGTGGAGGAATGCCCGGTGGATATGGAGGTCAAAGATTTTTTTAACCGCAAAATAAAACTTACTTGTTGATGATAATTCATCGAGAAGAGAATCTGAAATATAACTATCATGACTTTTCATATACACCATTCATGATCACCCTTAAGACACATTTGCGTAAAGAACAGAACCATAGAAATGTAATCACTGTATACGTATTTCTCTGTGTTCTTCTCCGGCACGCTCAACGAAGCAAAAATACACCATTCGTAATAAGAACATAAATCACCTTTTTCCTCTTTCTCCCGTTCTTCACTATTTGCCTAGTAAAATCACATTTGTATGAGATCATAAATATACCTCAATCGATCATACAGAGTCACGCAGTAGAAAGATAATCGAACTGCCTGGATTATGTTGATCTTAAAAGTGCTGTCGTTCTTTATGCTCATCTGCGGTTATGTTTTGCAACAGACTCATTCTCACGTAAATATGAAATTAGCCAAGAAACTCTACTCTCTCATTACTTTCATTTCATCAGATAAGACACTCAGCCGAACTGAAATCATCTCATACAACTTCAACTAAGGTCCTGATCATCGGTGCTGGTATATCGGGTTTAGAGGCAGCTCGTTTGCTAGAACAGAAAGGAATTGAGACAATTGTTCTCGAAGCACAGAATCGAACAGGTGGTCGAGTTTATTCAAGGCGGTCAAAACACGGCTCTATGCTTGATATGGGTGCGCGTTACATTCATGGCACTCGCGGTTCTATCCCATCTGGTTTCTTAACGAATCCATTGTGGGATTATACTCAACAAGTAAACATTCCTCTGTGTACCACAGGAGATCACAATTTTCTTGGACTCTATCCACCCAGTGATAAATTTACTCTCGCTGATGTTCAGCGCTGGTATGATGAGTACTTGACGTTCGTACGTGAAGAAACCAGATTCGCATCGTCACCAAATAATTCTTTTGCCTATAACCTTGATTTATTTTCTCAACAGAAAAACTTCACTTCAGATCAACGAGATGTGCTTTATGACTTGACATTTTTTATAATTGCCGATCGAGAAGGTGCAGAACTGGAAGCTATCGATGCGAAAAGTTATTTGGATATAACATCGATAAATTATGGTGAAGAGCCTGTCATTTGCGACACAGGTTTTATGACCATTACCAATCACTTAACAAAAGGTTGCAAAGATATCCGCTTGAAACAAATCGTGTCCAAAGTCAATTACACGAATACTCTCATCGATGTATGGACAACCGACGGGCAAGTTTATCGAGCAGATTACGTATTAGTAACCGTCTCATTGGGAGTATTGAAATCGAATGCAATTGAATTTTATCCATCTCTTCCTCAATGGAAACTGAATGCTATCAATAGGGTTGGATTCGGATATTACGAGAAGATTTATTTATTATGGGAACAGCCCTGGTGGAATTTTACGAATTTTTATTTCTTTCGACCCGCATCGATCAATTCGACAGGATTACGATTTTGGGTCAGCGCCAACAAATGGAACGGTATACCAAGTGTGATGTGTACCTTTTCTGGCAAGGTAATATCTCTGTTCAAATGGAAAGAAAACGAAAATACGATCGTACAAGAAATCCAAGATTCGATTCAAAAAATGTTTCCTCAAATAGCTATCCCTACGCCAACGGAAATTTACATGAGCAACTGGAATGAAGATGTATATTTTCGTGGATCGTACTCATTCATTTCCATCGATCAGAAACCAGACGATCCATTTCGCTTATCAGAACCAGTTGAAAATCGTTTGTTATTCGCCGGAGAAGCAACAAGTTCAGATAATTACGGTTATTCACATGGTGCTTTACTTACTGCGCGACGAGAAGTGACTCGTCTGCTTTATGTTTACAATCTATTGCCAAAACAAAACATAATAGCTACGTCTGAATCTACGAAGACTACCTCGACTAACACATTTCTCTTAGTTACTTTTCTGTCTTTTCAATTGTTGATAGTCGAATTAGAATAACTATTTAAAAATAGAAACTCACCATCTTGAGGGTGAAGGCGTCGTTAGAAATCGAAGATTTCTTTAACAGCAAATCATTAGCAGTCAATACATCTACGAGCTCTGTCCGCTTCAATTTCTCGTCTATAGTTGTACTTCACCAACCGGTTGTTCGGCTCCAGTACCGTCTCTCATTGGTAATGGATCGATTCGAGGTAATTGATTGTGTGATTTAATACGAGATTTCTCCTCTCGTTTTCTTGTAACCCAGTCGGTACGATGAATAGTTCAATTCAAAGCCCAAGCACTGGTTACTACATGCCGAGGTCGCAAACTTTGTTTCTTCTATATTTCATTCCTAGCTGTATCTACTTCATTACTCTTCAATGGTTCCAATTGCTAGTCAATATGGCTCAAAAGGCGTTTGTATGGGTGCCACCGATAATGCTCAAACTCAATCGAATCAATATTGTATTACATTTCTTGTTAAATTCAAGTCATCTGATGTTATCAGACCAACGATAGTCCAAGGGTTGCGGCTTCTCCAATCAATACTGTATTTCAAAGTCAATCAGTTTTCTCTATCGAAAGTAGGATCTATGCTCTTATTTTTTCATGCTGATAAAAATTTTGTCTCGGTTTTTAGTATCAATTTCTTTCAACCACCCAACACGTAACGGTGCTTGTATCTACCTTCGAACTGGTGTCGTTCGTTTTTCTGTCACCCCATGAATTTCTGGTCATTTCTATTATGTTACTTTCGACAGTGGTAGGTCATATGGATTTGTTTCGTTTTCAAATTCTATTATATTCTTATCAGATTTTAGGTATGGATAGTAGTATAAACAAAGGTCTCGAATCGGTACTGAGCAATGACCCAACATTCTGGGTATTCATCATCTGAAATCCTATTCTCTATCAAAAAGATTTCGTAAATATTGATAATACCATCCATTTCGATTTGTGATAGGAGCTTCTCTGCATGCAATCAAATGCCATCCTAGCCACTATTTTCCTTGCTGTTTTCATGCCTATCAATGCTATAACTCTGTATGCCACTTTATCTCTAATTAACGTGAGCCGATAGATTACTGTCTTATAGTCTATGCAACATCAAAAGTATGATTATAGAAACGACATGGGCGCATTGCAAAAATAAAAAGTAAACGGCCCTAGAGACACGACAGAGAATACCTCGTCTCCCGCATGACTTTAACTAGAAGAAATTATTTCAAATAATAAAGTTATTGTGCATGTTGGTTGTGATCAAGGACATGACGCAGTTTAGTTTAAGTATATTACTTGAAAACAAACGTGTTTTTTTATCGACACTAAAGTTCGAAAAACATTGAACAGGTTCTATAAATAACAGCGTGCATTGGATGTGATAGACATACTTACTTATTTCAGATTTAATTGGAATGTCACTTCACATTTCCCCGCGTTCTAAATCATTTTTTGTTTCCGCCTCTGTGAAACATCTTCAGCGTGTATACTCTCTAACTTGGAGAAAATATATAGATGGCATCGAAGGTTGAATCATGGTTTATTCCCATGGATATTTTCATGATTATCTGCGTTCTTCTCGTCATCATACTCGCCATTACGTTCCTAGTTATAATTATTACTGATCGATTGTTCCATAAAGTTTCAATGCTATTGATCGCTAATTCTTGTTTAGCAGAACTTCTATTCGGCAGTGATTTGTTCGGTATGGCTCTGTTTACCCTAAAAAATGATCTTGAACGGAGAGAGTCAGAACACATAATATGCATTGTACAAGGTTACATCAGTTATGTTGGTTATTCTTTACAGAATTATTGCTTTTTACTGCAAGCATTCTATCGGTTCATGATCGTGATCCATCCAACACATTTGTACTATCAAACAGCCAAATTTCAACTGATTCTCATCTTTACTGTATGGATATTTTCTTTTTCTTATGCCATTCCAATTCTCTATACCGGTCAGCTTAAATATAATGTTGCCAATCAAATATGTCAAATGCCTCTTGGATTTTCGTTCTATGGAGTTTATACAGCTTTGTGTATTTATGGTATTCCCATGTCGTTGATTATGGGTGCTTACACGAAAGTCGTTCAATACGTAAGAAAACTAAACAAGCAAGTATCATCAACCAATCTTGTGTATCGTGCAGAGCGGGAATTGAAAATGATCCGACGCATCGTTATTATTGTGTTGATTATAATAGGCATTGGTTTTCCCTATGCCGTGTTCAGTTTTATGGCGTTTTTTGTTGATCCTCCTGAGTACTATCTTCGCATTGCTTTTGCTTGTGTTGACATGTCATTGCCAACGATGATGATTACTCTCCTCCTGTTCACAGAACCACTCAAAGTGGCCATACTGAAAAGATTACATGTCAAAACGAATCTAATCACGGCCGTAGCGAGTTAATTAACATGTATCAGTATCAAAGAAAAATGTGCCGTATGACAATAGTTTTGACCCATGCTAGAGGAATTTCATAAGCATTTTTAAATAAAGCTTTACAAGACGAAAGTCGATAAGCTAAATATTGCTGAATATTCTGCTGTGAATCTATGCACTACGATAGCGTTAGTCTTTGTCTAGTACATTTGATGGAGATGCCGAAGAGTGAACGAAATGCAGTAAAACAAGTGAAGCCCGTACTAATCCAACTTTTTTTGTTGGCATATTAGTTGATACAGTATGGCCCAATATCACGAAGAGCATTTGAAACGGTGGCAACGAAACAGACGTTCACATGCGTATACAAAATGATGAAGATCATAGCTTGCTTTTCACTTTCGTACGATTTGAAGGCAAAGTGCACTGATTTGACCATGAGCAACAAGCTAACGCTTTGATGAAAAAATCGATAGACAGGACATGTTGCGCCCTCTTTTCTTCGTACGAAAAAATTTCGTCGTTGGCTGTTCTTTTGCTTCAGTCAAGATCGAATAAAAATTGACGCTTCTCAACCACTCATATTTTCCAATATACTTGTGAATGAAATATCCGATGTCGGATTAACAGTAGAGAAAAATCCCTTGTGTTTTTTATTTATTCCTTTTCGTCTTTTAGATCGTATTTGATAAATGCATCATACCTGTTCGTTTTGTTGTCTTTTCTTGACGACGACCTTTATTAACTTGCAATTGTCGTGATCACATACGTGATATTTTCTTTTAAAAGATTTCAATAGATATGACACACGGTCAGAATACTAATCAACAGTTACGAGAAATGAATGAGTCAATATTGACTCATTTATTTCTTCCATATCACCTACCTTCATCGTCAGATGCAGATTTCTGTCTTCAATCGAATCATCGATATGAATATGTGATACTCGAATGTATGTCGAGGTTTTTAACGTTGTGTACAATCGACAATGATCAGATCATCTCGCCTATAATCGAAACTTTAATCACTTGCACACAACGATGGCATTTGCTACAGAAAAATCTTTCAATAACGAATCTCAAATCGGCAATTGAGCAATTACACCCCAGTGATTTCCTTCCATTATATTTTCATGCCCAAAATGCTGCCATTCTGATTGAGATCGATGAAAATAATGATCATCAACCGTTAATATCGTCTTGGCAAGTCTCATTACCAACTGAGAAAATTAGTTCGTCGCTGCAGTCTCATCAAGCTTGTTTTCCGGTGAATATTTACCGTCTTTCCGATCGTTCTTGCCTCACTTCGACCGCTCATTGTGAATTACTACTCGATTTCATGAAAAATCCAATTGAATACTCGAAATCCTACAAAATCTCTCGTGACGTTCCTTTCTCTCATTATGTTACACAATGGTACATCCAACAATTTCCAAACGTTATATTAGATGATAGCTGCAAGCATACGACTGAATTTACGAAGAAATCTCGTGATCAAATTCGATGGAATAATGGTGCATTACCTTTCCGACGCTCAGGTCTATGGCTGACGATGAAAGTTGTATTCGAAACGATCTTAACAAAACGTTTGGGAAAAGCTGGAATTCTTGTTTACAAACTATTGATAACACATTTTTTAACTGATATGATTTACACCAAAGAGTCATCGATGGATTTGCTTGTTCATGCTATACGAAAAATTCTTCGTCGACTGAATAAAATCGATCGACTGTTAGCCAACACAGATTCAACTGATATTAACGAATGGATTCGATTTATTAAATGTGCGATACAAAAGAAGATTGATGACATCGTTCCGAAGCTCGATTGGCAGACATCGATTCAGCACGAAGAACAACAAAAGAACGAAAGATTAACTCTGGATTTTAATCTTAACAATCCTGACCTTTATCGGCATTCGTGTGAGAAAGTGAAATCTTATTTAACTGATAATGACAACTCGAGAATTTGCAAGAGAGCTGCATCTACTGCCTATCGAATTCCTGATTCTATTGAGTTTGATCAAGCACCTTCTTTCAATGTCCTAACCAATCAATTCAGATACTCTAGTGAGATTGCATTGATTCACATGGAACTTTGGATAAATTTTTGGTGTGAACAGTGGGCTGATCGACCATCAGGACGCAACCCGGAGACGTTCGAGATGTTGTCTCGATTCTACGCCGATTATCAAACTTCCGCATTGAATTTTTACCATTCGAAGCAAATATCAACGGACCCGCTGGGTTATACTCGATTTCTCCTTACATCGTTAACAATTATTCGTGCAATGCATAAAAAGTTATGTCAAGACAAACGATTCGAACGCTTACAACATCATCGTATCGAAATTCCAAATCTCCTCGAACTTCTTCAATATTTCATCTTACCTACATATGATGATATGACCTATGCTCGTGATCTTTACGATTATTTTAGTAGATTCACTGACAAGTCCAATCCTGATCTTTTGGAAAACATCACCGAAGAAAACAGTTTCGGTGTTCATTTTGCTGCGAATTCGAGCAAGATTACGAAATATCTACGTAATCTACAAACACAAGTTGAACAAGATAGAAATGCAAAGATTCAAGAAGTACGCACGGCGAAAGACAAATACAATCGATTGATGAATTCCATCAGTTATTTGTCATGTACATGCAGTAGTGCGTCCAATGAGACCTTATGTCGCCGATGTCGTATTGAAGAACAGGCGGAAAATATCATCGTCGAAATTTACGAATGTCCAATTCCATCGGACCAAGCCAGTGCATTAGCGATTCTGTTCGAATTACGGATGCCAGTGGAAATTCGGTATTATCGTGATGTTCTTTGGCAATTTATCAATCGTTCTCGATACAAACAGGATAATCGCATGTATGAATGGTTGAGAGTACGTCCTCATTGCGAACGATTAGAACCGTTGTTTACTGGTCCAAAGGATTATAAAGTAAAACTAGTGTCATCAAATAATTCCCTAACACAAACTCATACTGCTGACTTGTGCATTGCCACAGCACCGATCGAAGATTTTCTCTATGCAAATAGTTTACAAATACAGTTAACACCGAGTCGATCGCCAAAATTCGAAGATGAATGTCGAATGTTGACTCCGCAACTGGAACAGTCGGACTATAAACAGCTGCAATACGCAATTCAATCAACTGAGTCTGTGCAAAATCAAATTCTTGGCGATCTCTCACAAATCCAAACGAAATTCAAATCTCAACAATTCATCGAGTACGGTTCATTCCGTTCAGGTCATCGCTTACAATGGTGGAATCTATTATCAATCTTAGAAATGGATTCTTTATCATTGAATGAAGAGAGCGTTGCAACCTTGATTATTCATACGATTTTACAATACGGTCCGTTCTCCGACAGTGTGTCATGGTGTGCAGAATCGCATCAAGTTCTATTCGATGACAACTTTGTTGATGAATTAATTCTACGGTTGAATCGCCATTTAGATGATTGTGCGTTGAATTGGCAAAATGAATTCGTGTTGATTACAGTTACAATGATTACAATGAGAGTTTTAACATTATGCAATTCGAGTCGAGAGCAGAAAGTCATGGATTTAGTGCTGAAATGTCGCCGCTTAGGTGAACAATGGATCAAGTTAATTTCATCGGCTATTCAAACAATCTCCTCAACGGATTTGATTGAAGTGGAGAAACTTCGTGGAAATATCGTGACAATTGGTGTGGCCTGTTTATTAACCTATTCGGTTCATTCCAATCGATTGCATCGTGTATTATCAACGAATGATCATATGCTTTCGTTATTGAAAGCAATGGCTAACGTTCACGATAATCTGGTCTCTAACAAGAAGCAAACGTCAATGAGCGAGATCATGAAATATTTACTTCGATTGACTGATCGTGTACTAGTGCAGATTCAACCAACAATTGCTTTATTTCTTCAGCAATCATCGTATCAAAGTCTGGACGATTTTGCTATAATCTATTGGTCAGTCATTCGACATGAGGAAGAAATCGATGCTAAATGGAAGAAACGCCATTCGAACGAGTATGACGGATGGTACGACGGTCAATATGAATCTACAATCTTATCCATTGATTGTCTTAGTGGAAGATTTCTTGTTAACGGAATGACTGTTGGTTATTTACCTGAGAAAATCATTTCCAACGAATTGTATCTTCGTGTTTTCGATCGGTATATTTTCCAAGTACAAATTTCCGATTCATCGAATACTTACATAGCCAAGTATAGTTATCATGACGATGGGCAAGTTCTATATGAATTTTATCATGATGACCAATACAATCAGTTAATTATATACGAGCGGCATTTGAAGACGAATGAACTGTTCGAATTAATACCTTCGAGTTGTTTAACAATAGATTTACCTGTTCGATTCATTTCGGAATACAGCCATTGGAAAAATACGAAAACGAATATCATCGAATTTCGAGCCGTTCATTTCAAAGATCCGAATTTTCTTACTTATNGCTTGAAGAACAACAAAAGAACGAAAGATTAACTCTGGATTTTGATCTTAATGATCCTGATCTTTATCGACATTCGTGTGAGAAAGTGAAATCTTATTTAACTGATAATGACAACTCGAGAATTAACAAGAGAACTTCGTCTACTGCCTATCGAATTCCTGATTCTATTGAGTTTGATCAAGCACCTTCTTTCAATGTCCTAACCAATCAATTCAGATACTCCAGTGAGATTGCATTGATTCACATGGAACTTTGGATCAAATTTTGGTGTGAACAGTGGGCTGATCGACCATCAGGACGCAACCCGGAGACGTTCGAGATGTTGTCTCGATTCTACGCCGATTATCAAACTTCCGCATTGAATTTTAACCATTCGAAGCAAATATCAACGGATCCGCTGGGTTATACTCGATTTCTCCTTACATCATTAACAATTATTCGTGCAATGCATAAAAAGTTATGCCAAGACAAACGATTCGAACGCTTACAACATCATCGTATCGAAATTCCAAATCTCCTCGAACTTTTTCAATACTTCATCTTACCTACGCGTGATGATATGACTTATGCTCACGATCTTTACGATTATTTTAGTAGATTCACGGACAAGTCCAATCCTGATCTTTTGGAAAACATCACCGAAGAAAATAGTTTCGGTGTTCATTTTGTTGCGAATTCGAGCAAAATTACGAAATGTCTACGTAATCTACAAACACAAGTTGAACAAGATAGAAATGCAAAGATTCAAGAAGTACGCACGGCGAAAGACAAATACAATCGATTGATGAATTCTATCAGTTGTTTGTCGTGTACATGCAGTAGTGCGTCTAATGAGACCTTATGTCGCCGATGTCGCATTGAGGAACAGGCGGAAGATATCATCGTCGAAATTTATGAATGCCCAATTCCATCGGAACAGGCTAGTGCATTCGCGGTTCTGTTCGAATTGCGAATGCCGGTGGAAATTCGATATTATCGTGATGTTCTTTGGCAATTTATCAATCGTTCTCGATACAAACCGGATAATCGCATGTATGAATGGCTGCGAGTACGTCCTCATTGCGAACGATTAGAACCGTTGTTTACTGGTCCAAAGGATTATAAAGTAAAACTAGTCTCATCAAATAATTCCCTAACACAAACTCATACTGCTGACTTATGCATTGCTACAGCGCCGATCGAAGATTTTCTCTATGAAAATAGTTTACAAATACAGTTAACACCAAGTCGATCGCCAAAATTTGAAGATGAATGTCGAATGTTGACTCCGCAACTGGAACAGTCGGACTATAAACATCTACAATACGCGATTCAATCAACTGAGTCCGTGCAGAATCAAATTCTTGCCGATCTCTCACAAATCCAAACGAAATTCAAATCTCAACAATTCATCGAGTACGGATCATTCCGTTCAGGTCATCGCTTACAATGGTGGAATTTATTATCAATCTTAGAAATGGATTCTTTACCACTGAATGAAGAGAGCGTTGCAACCTTGATTATTCATACGATTTTACAATACGGTCCGTTCTCTGACAGTGTGTCATGGTGTGCAGAATCGCATCAAGTTCTATTCGATGACAACTTTGTTGATGAATTAATTCTACGGTTGAATCGTCATTTAGATGATTGTGCGTTGAATTGGCAAAATGAATTCGTGTTGATTACAGTTACGATGATTACAATGAGAGTTTTAACATTATGCAATTCGAGTCGAGAGCAGAAAGTCGTGGATTTGGTACTGAAATGTCGCCGTTTAGGTGAACAATGGATCAAGTTAATTTCATCGGCTATTCAAACAATTTCCTCCACGGATTTGACTGAAGTGGAGAAACTTCGTGGAAATATCGTGACAATTGGTGTGGCATGTTTATTAACCTATTCAGTTCATTCCAATCGATTGCATCGTATATTATCGACGAATGATCATATGCTTTCGTTATTGAAAGCAATGACTAATGTTCATGATAATCTGGTCTCTAACAAGAAGCAAACGTCAATGAGCGAGATCATGAAATATTTACTTCGATTCACTGATCGTATACTAGTGCAGATTCAACCGACAGTTGCTTTATTTCTTCAGCAATCATCGTATCAAAGTCTGGACGATTTTGCCATTATTTATTGGTCAGTCATTCGACATGAGGAAGCAATCGATGCTAAATGGAAGAAACGCCATTCGAACGAGTATGACGGATGGTACGACGGTCAATATGAATCTACAATCTTATCCATTGATTGTCTTCGTGGAAGATTTCTTGTTAACGGAATGACTGTTGGTTATTTACCTGAGAAAATCATTTCGAACGAATTGTATCTTCGTGTTTTCGATCGTTATATCTTCCAAGTACAAATCTCCGATTCATCGAATACTTACATAGCCAAGTATAGTTATCATGACGATGGACAAGTTCTATATGAATTTTATCATGATGATCAATACAATCAGTTAATTATATATGAACGACATTTGAAAACGAATGAAGTGTTCGAATTAATACCTTCGGATTGTTTAACAATAGATTTACCTGTTCGATTCATTTCGGAATACAGCCATTGGAAAAATACGAAAACGAATATCATCGAATTTCGAGCCGTTCATTTCAAAGATCCGAATTTTCTTACTTATAAACCTTACACGCTAAATATTGATACCGGTCTGTTATCAACCACCGATCTGACTACTCCACAAGTCTTAGTCAATCAAACATCACTACTCTTTCAAAACTTATTCACACGCTATTTCAATCGTCTGGATGACAAAGCATACGTTTACATGTTCAGCGATTATACCAATATTCACGTTCATCTATCACGTTTAGCAATTGCATTCACTTATCAAACGAATACTCGTTGTTTGGTATCACGTGAATACTCCGATATGTGCATCGACGAAAATCAATGCTTGGGAACATTGGCAGGTTTAAAATCTGGCTTACTCCTGTCACCAATGACGCATACTCATGAACACTTTAAACATCGGAAATTAATCGTACCTTTCGGACGTGTCTATGCGATACGACGAACGTCAACAATCGATCATCAGAATGTTTTCATACAACGAAAGGCAAACATGTCGGATGCTCAGCAGTATTTCGTTTTTATTCTCAATGATCGATTGAGAATTATTCAAACGAACGATAGTCCTTCAGGATGGTTATATCTATCATTACTCCATGCAATGACATCTCACCTTCTTCCCGATCAGTATACCGGCATGACTGGCATGGAACGTGCTTTTCAATTGTTGAATTCTGCAGGTTGCTGGACTGATCAGCCGTACGATGCACTCTCGCTGAATATTCTCCATCAAATCGCAATGATTTCTCCGAAAGCAGTCTACTATCAACATATGCAAAAGATCGATTGGAATGATGATACATTGCCTTATTCTTTACAGCATTGTGGTTATTATTTATTAGTCAAGAAACTAATTGAAACGAGCGAAAGTTTGAATTTTATGCATTTTTCATTACATAACGAAGAAATCTTAACATTAAATGCTGAAAATGAGTATGATGAACGATTATTGATGAAAATCTATTGGGATTATCGTCATTCATACAATCCCGTCGCTCGCTTATCCGCAGAAATTGAAATTGAAATCATGGAAATGGCAAAATCCGAAGAACCATATCAAGCTCTTGTGGAGCGTGATTCAACAGTTGGAAATCAGAAACTAATTCAACTCGTCAATGACATGTATCATTCTGGTGACGTGTATTTGAAAGACGTGTCAGAACTGACTTGTTTTCCGTTGAATCAATGGTTAACTGATGATTATTCCTTGAATACTGTTTGGATCGGTCTATTGAAACTGGCCGAATCGATTAAAACAGCAAATGTCTCTGACGATATCGAGCGGTTTACAATACTTCTCAAGTTTCTCTATTACATATCCAGTAAACGTGGAATTCGAAAGATTTATTTAGAAATCTTGTATACTGTCTTGCATGATCCGACATTATCATTGGATTCCATCACATTTCCAACGTTTACTCAATACACAAACATTCAACATATGACTGTGGTCATGAATTCGATTGATTTCCATTCTCAACACTCTGCTGGTCAACGTCGGACGATTCTTGAAGAAGTCAAAGATTGCTTTGAGAAAGGGTACACGTACAAAGACCNCATGAACACTTTAAACATCGGAAATTAATCGTACCTTTCGGACGTGTCTATGCGATACGACGAACGTCAACAATCGATCATCAGAATGTTTTCATACAACGAAAGGCAAACATGTCGGATGCTCAGCAGTATTTCGTTTTTATTCTCAATGATCGTTTGAGAATTATTCAATCGAACGATAGTCCTTCAGGATGGTTATATCTATCATTACTCCATGCAATGACATCTCACCTTCTTCCTGATCAGTATACTGGCATGACTGGCATGGAACGCGCTTTTCAATTGTTGAATTCTGCAGGTTGCTGGACTGATCAGCCGTACGATGCACTCTCGCTGAATATTCTTCATCAAATCGCAATGATTTCTCCGAAAGCAGTCTACTATCAACATATGCAAAAGATCGATTGGAATGATGATACATTGCCTTATTCTTTACAGCACTGTGGTTATTATTTATTAGTCAAGAAACTGATTGAAACGAGTGAAAGATTGAATTTTATGCATTTTTCATTACATACTGAAGAAATCTTAACATTAAATGCTGAAAATGAATATGATGAACGATTACTGATGAAAATCTATTGGGATTATCGTCATTCATACAATCCGGTCGCTCGCTTATCCGCAGAAATTGAAATTGAAATCATGGAAACGACAAAATCCGAAGAATCATATCAAGCTCTTGTGGAGCGTGATTCAACAGTTGGAAATCAGAAACTAATTCAACTCGTCAATGACATGTATCATTCCGGTGACGTATATTTGAAAGACGTATCCGAACTGACTTGTTTTCCGTTGAATCAATGGTTAACTGATGATTATTCTGTGAATACTATTTGGGTTGGTCTATTGAAACTCGCTGAATCACTTAAAACAACGAATGTTCCTGACGACATCGAGCGATTTACAATACTTCTCAAGTTTCTCTATTACATATCCAGTAAACGTGGTATTCGAAAGATTTATTTAGAAATCTTGTATACTGTCTTGCATGACCCGACATTATCACTGGATTCCATCACATTTCCAACGTTTACTCAATACACAAACATTCAACATATGACTGTGGTCATGAATTCGATTGATTTCCATTCTCAACACTCTGCTGGTCAACGTCGGACGATTCTTGAAGAAGTTAAAGATTGTTTTGAGAAAGGATATACGTACAAAGATCAATGCCGATTAGCAACACCGGAAGAAAAGAATCAAATCAAATTCTTGCTGAAATCTTGGCATTTAAATCAAAAACTTCACACATTTCTAATGACAATTCAAAACTTAATCTGTTCATGTGAGTTGTTACCATTTCATCAACGAATTTCTGTTTCTCCACAACAATTCACGTTGAGATCAATTGAGGAGAGTTATCAAATAGAAATTTTACCATCTAGCAGACAAATCAACCAAGAATTACTTAACAAGGCAGAAGAAAAGTATTTCCATCGTAATTCTGACCATATTGTTAAATCAACGGCTTCGATAAAAACCACTCATGAGCAGAAGACATTTCCAGAGGAGATATTTACTTCAATCGATGATCAGACTAACACGCTTCGTGAAATAGGACTTTTTTTCAAAAATCAACTCGCCATCAGTTGGAGGCAACTACAATCGAGTGAATTTGTCCAACGAAACTATCCTTCCATAGACGAAATTCTTCAACTTCTCCAGATCCTTCATAAAGAATCCACTCACTTCTGGAACGAATTATTGCAATCGATTACCTGTGATCATCAGCACCTATTCAACATAGGTTTATTACCTCGAACAACACCGGCCAATCTAATTTCCATCTTTCAACAAATCTGGCTGAATGAACAGTCAAAATCTTCTCTCCAATTGACATCAGACCAACGTACATTGCTTGGTGGTCTGATGGTCAATTGGGTGATCGAACAGCAACTCGAGCGTGCATTATATTTTCACCATTATAAGAAGCTCGAAGAATTTCAAAAAGAACTTGTGACGATTCCACACGCAAATTGGATCCCATCGGAACATCTTCCATGGCTGATCTTTGAATTAGAAATGAACCTAACCATCCGCGAGATTCAAGTTGATGTTGCTCGGCATATGATGCAACCGGAACTGTCGGCTTCGAAAAGTCTGGTCATGCAAATGAATATGGGCGAAGGGAAAACGTCTGTTATTATCCCGATATTAGCTCTCAGTTTAAGCTCGTCTTTGTCGAGTCTGGTTCGTATTGTGGTTCTGAAGTCCTTGTTTCCGGTGAATTATCAATCATTAAGGTTTAAATTAGGTGGTTTGTTGAATCGACGTATTTTACCGTTTACTTGCCGACGTGACATGAATTTTACAAATGAACAAATTCATCAGATTTATAACCGATTTCGCCGAGCACTCCATCATTGTGATGTGATTTTAACTTCACCAGAAGATCTTTTGTCATTCGATCTACTGACAATTGATAAATGCCGACGAAAGGAATTCGATACTAGTCGTTCAATGTTAATTACTCAACAATGGTTGAAAACATTCGCACGAGATCTTCTTGACGAATCCGATGAAATTCTACATTGTAAATATCAGTTAATTTACACTGTTGGCAAACAACAGCGAATCGATGGTGGAATCGAACGTTNCTCAAGTTTCTCTATTACATATCCAGTAAACGTGGAATTCGAAAGATTTATTTAGAAATCTTGTATACTGTCTTGCATGATCCGACATTATCATTGGATTCCATCACATTTCCAACGTTTACTCAATACACAAACATTCAACATATGACTGTGGTCATGAATTCGATTGATTTCCATTCTCAACACTCTGCTGGTCAACGTCGGACGATTCTTGAAGAAGTCAAAGATTGCTTTGAGAAAGGGTACACGTACAAAGACCAATGTCGATTAGCAACACCGGAAGAAAAGAATCAAATCAAATTCTTATTAAAATCTTGGCATTTAAATCAAAAACTTCACACATTTCTAATGACGATTCAAAACTTAATCTGTTCATACGAGTTGTTACCGTTTCATCAACGAGTTTCTGTTTCTCCACAACAATTCACATTGAAATCATTTCAGGAGAGTTATCAAATAGAAATTTTACCATCTAGCAGACAAATCAATCAGGAATTACTTAACAAAGCGGAAGAAAAGTATTTCCACTGTAATTCTGATCATATTGTCAAATCAACGACTTCGATAGAAACCACGCATGAGCAGAAGACATTTCCCGAGGAGATATTTACTTCAATCGATGATCAAACCAATACGCTTCGTGAAATCGGACATTTTTTCAAAAATCAACTCGCCGTCAGTTGGAGACAATTACAATCGAGTGAACTTGTCCAACGAAACTATCCTTCCATAGACGAAATTCTTCAACTTCTCCAAATCCTTCGCAAAGAATCCACTCACTTCTGGAACGAACTACTACAATCGATTACCAGTGATCATCAGCACCTATTCAACATAGGTTTATTACCTCGAACAACACCGGCCAATCTGATTTCCCTCTTTCAACAAATCTGGCTGAATGAACAGTCGAAATCTTCTCTCCAATTGACACCAGACCAACGTACATTGCTTGGTGGTCTAATGGTCAATTGGGTAGTCGAACAGCAACTCGAGCGTGCATTACATTTTCACCATCATAAGAAGCTTGAAGAATTTCAGAAAGAACTTGTGACGATTCCACACGCAAATTGGATCCCATCGAAACATCTTCCATGGCTGATCTTCGAATTAGAAATGAACCTAACCATACGCGAGATTCAAGTTGATGTCGCTCGGCATATGATGCAGCCGGAACTGTCGGCTTCGAAAAGTCTGGTCATGCAAATGAATATGGGCGAAGGGAAAACGTCTGTTATTATTCCAATGTTAGCCCTCAGTTTAAGCTTGCCTTTGACAAGTCTGGTTCGTATTGTGGTTCTGAGGTCCTTGTTTCCGGTGAATTATCAATCATTAAGGTTCAAATTAGGTGGTTTGTTGAATCGACGTATTTTACCGTTTACTTGCCGACGTGACATGAATTTTACAACTGAACAAATTCATCAGATTTATAATCGATTTCGCCGAGCACTGGATCATTGTGATGTGCTTTTAACTTCACCAGAAGATCTTTTGTCATTTGATCTGCTGACGATTGATAAATGCCGACGAAAGGATTTCGATACTAGTCGTTCGATGTTAATCACTCAGCAATGGTTGAAAACATTCGCACGAGATCTTCTTGACGAATCCGATGAAATTCTACATTGTAAATATCAGTTAATTTACACTGTTGGCAAACAACAGCGAATCGATGGTGGAATCGAACGTTGGCAACTTATTCAAATGATATTGAATTCAGTGAAGAAGTTTGCTGCCGAGATTGCTCGGATCGATCCGACGAATGTCTTTTACAAGCCCTCGAACAGTCANAAATCGATTATAAATCTGATGAATTTGTTGGCAACTTATTCAAATGATATTGAATTCAGTGAAGAAGTTTGCTGCCGAGATTGCTCGGATCGATCCGACGAATGTCTTTTACAAGCCCTCGAACAGTCAAGGTGCCTTTCCGGAATTTCGCTTTCTATCACATCGATCGTTTCCCGATCTATGTCTTAAGATAGTTAACGATTGGCTCGACCAAAAGCCCTATCGAAAAACGGATCGAGAATGCATTTTATCCTTTATATTAGATATCAAGATATCAATCGATTCTCTCATTGATCGGTTCTCTCCAAGTGACATTCAATCATTTCTTATCATTCGTGGTCTACTATCAAGTGAAGTTTTGCTCGTTTGTCTAAAGAAACGTTACCGTGTCAATTATGGTATCAATTTAAACAAAAACTTTAACCGATTAATGGCCGTTCCTTACCGAGCGAAAGATGTTCCGGCAGATCGAACTGAATTCGGTCATCCTGACACAGCTCTTGTTTTGACCCAACTATCATACTATTACAGTGGACTGACGAGTTCACAAATTTTACAGTGTTTTGATCGTCTGAATCAAGAAGAACGAGATCCCGACATGATCTATACCGAATGGATCACGAAGGAGCACGATCATGACATTCCCCAAAATCTTAAACAATGGAAAAAAGTCAATGTCAAGGAATGTCACCAAGAAATTCATAAACTTTTTCAACTGCTACGATACAATATGGTAGTCGTCAATTACTTTCTTAATCATTTTGTTTTTCCACAAGAAGCAAAACAATTTCCTCATAAATTAATCGCTTCTTCATGGGATTTAGCCTCGTCAAAACGAACGAAAATGATTACTGGCTTCAGCGGTACCAATGATACCCAACTGCTACTACCGATTCATATTCATCAGCGTGATTTACCTCAACTACAAAGTACTGATGCGATTGTGATTAATAATTTACTACAGCCTGTAAATGAAAACTATCGACATCTACCTGTTATTATGACTTCAGAGATGATCTTGAATGAAATTGCTAGCTATCGAGAAATGATAAATGTTATTATCGATGTTGGCGCTCTATTCGTTGATCGTACTAATCGTGAAATAGCTGTGAATTGGTTAGAACAATCAGATCATAAGAAAATCGATTATGCCATTTATTTTCATTCGGATCACATTATTGTTTGTGATCGACAATATCATCATCAATCATTTTCTAGCTCGCCGGCAAGTGAACGACTAGACCGATGTGTTATCTATCTCGATGAAGTGCATACGAGAGGAACTGATTTCAAATTTCCTACTGGTTTCACAGCGGCTGTGACGCTTGGTAATGGTTTAACGAAAGATCGTTTCGTGCAAGCATGTATGCGCATGAGAAGACTAGGAGAAAGTCATTCATTGACGTTCTGGAGCTCGGATGAAGTCCATCGACAGATTGTTTCATTAAAAACCAGTCTGCAACCATCAATCGAATTGAAAGACATTCTGCGATGGGTTTATGAAAATACTCAACGAGCGACATGGGATGGATTGTATTACTGGGCAATGCAAAGTCTTAGCTATCAACGGAAAATGAGCGCCTTTCAAATCATTGATTGGCGAGGCCATCAACAAGATTTTACTAACCGGATCATGGATGAATTAGCAGNATGTTAATTACTCAACAATGGTTGAAAACATTCGCACGAGATCTTCTTGACGAATCCGATGAAATTCTACATTGTAAATATCAGTTAATTTACACTGTTGGCAAACAACAGCGAATCGATGGTGGAATCGAACGTTGGCAACTTATTCAAATGATATTGAATTCAGTGAAGAAGTTTGCTGCAGAGATCGCTCGGATCGATCCGACGAATGTCTTTTACAAGCCATCGAACAGTCGAAGTGCCTTTCCAGAATTTCGCTTTCTATCACATCGATCGTTTCCCGATCTATGTCTTAAGATAGTTAACGATTGGCTCGACCAAAAGCCCTATCGAAAAACGGATCGAGAATGTATTCTATCTTTTATATTAGATATCAAGATATCAATCGATTCTCTAATTGATCGGTTCTCTTCAAGTGACATTCAATCATTTCTTATCATTCGTGGTCTACTATCAAGTGAAGTTTTGCTCGTTTGTCTAAAGAAACGTTACCGTGTCAATTATGGCATCAATTTAAACAAAAACTTTAACCGATTAATGGCCGTTCCTTATCGAGCGAAAGATGTTCCGGCAGATCGAACTGAATTCGGTCATCCTGACACAGCTCTTGTTTTGACCCAACTATCCTATTATTACAGTGGACTGACGAGTTCACAAATTTTACAGTGTTTTGATCGTCTGAATCAAGAAGAACGAGATCCCGACATGGTCTATACCGAGTGGATCACGCAGGAGCACGATCATGACATTCCCCAAAATCTTAAGCAATGGAAAAAAGTCAACATCAAGGAATGTCACCAAGAAATTCATAAACTTTTTCAACTGCTACGATACAATATGGTAGTCGTCAATTACTTTCTTAACCATTTTGTTTTTCCACAAGAAGCAAAACAGTTTCCTCATAAATTAATCGCTTCTTCATGGGATTTAGCATCGGCAAAACGAACGAAAATGATTACTGGCTTCAGCGGTACCAATGATACCCAACTACTACTACCGATTCATATTCATCAGCGTGATTTACCTCAACTACAAAGTACTGATGCGATTGTGATTAATAATTTACTACAGCCTGTAAATGAAAGCTATCGACATCTACCTGTTATTATGACCTCAGAGATGATCTTGAACGAAATTGCTAGTTATCGAACAATGATAAATGTTATTATCGATGTTGGTGCTCTATTTGTTGATCGTACTAATCGTGAAATAGCTGTGAATTGGTTAGAACAATCAGATCACAAGAAAATCGATTATGCCATTTATTTTCACTCGGATCACATTATTGTTTGTGATCGACAATATCATCATCAAGCATTTTCAAGCTCGCCGGCAAGTGAACGGCTAGACCGATGTGTTATCTACCTCGATGAAGTGCATACGAGAGGAACTGATTTCAAATTTCCTACTGGTTTCACAGCGGCTGTGACACTTGGCAATGGTTTAACGAAAGATCGTTTCGTGCAAGCATGTATGCGTATGAGAAGACTAGGAGAAAGTCATTCATTGACGTTCTGGAGCTCGGATGAAGTTCATCGACAGATCGTTTCATTAAAAACTAATCTACAACCATCAATCGAATTGAAAGACATTCTGCGATGGGTTTATGAAAATACTCAACGAGCGACATGGGATGGATTGTATTACTGGGCAATGCAAAGTCTTAGCTATCAACGGAAAATGAGCGCCTTTCAAATCATTGATTGGCGAGGCCATCAACAAGATTTTACTAACCGGATCATGGATGAATTAGCAGAGAAGTGTTTAGAATCGGAAATTTTGGAATTGAAACGAGTGTATGGTATACCAAAAGCTTTTCAATCGATATCCGACATTTACATCAATCAGTATCAATATGCCAATATTCCTGCATCAGAAGAAATCCATTTTGCGGTGCTAAAACGAATGAATACGTACGGTGGATCGAAACAACGGTTGTCGCAATTTGTTGATGAAGAACAGCAACGTGAATTGGAACAAGAAGTCGAACAGGAACAAGAACGTGTCCAAGAGCATGAACAGAAATCTTATCGTATTGCTCATCCATGCAAACCAATTCTGCATGATGAAGTCAAACGATTAACAGATTCAGATGATCCTCCATTGAATTTTGCTGAATTGCCTCACGTATTTCGTCCATTAGCGCATGCTTTTACTGATTCAATATTGACCAGTATGTGTGAACAGGACAATTGGCGATCGAATTTTTGGATAACAACTGAATTTCAACGTGTCATTGAAAATCAAGAAGAATTTTTAGATCGATACTTACGCCCACCACGCTGGATAATCGTCTATCGGAATGAACATATTCTTTTTGTCAGCGCTTTCGAAGCGAATTGGTTAATAGGACAATTACAACAATGTGAACGAACGTCTACCACTACATTGCGATTGCTCTTACCTCGTTTAAAACGAAATCAATCGATCTTTGTCAACACACCTACGATAACTATTCCTCCATCTATTCCGGCAACTAATGGTAATCATACGTTCATGTTACCTATTGATTGGTTAGTCGAATTATTTGTTTTCAATGGCACTATTTATTTCGAAACAAACGAAGAGCATATGGCCTACTGTCAATATTTAGGATTATGTCCTAAACCTCGAACAGTAGTTGAAGAAGATGCATTCGAAAATGGTTGGATCTCTCCTGATGGATTCGTTCAAGAAACGAAACATCGTTCACTGTTAATGCTTGAACATGCTCGATTCAATTCCAATCCTTTAACATTCATTAAACAATTATTGAAGAATCGGAATGATACGTATCCATCTCTCTCGTCACATGTTGGAAATCTGATCTTCAATTGTTCACGGACACTTTTATGAGTCTTTCAGCCATTTCTCAGGTTTTTCACGATGATAATCACACCAATGTCATTCATTTTTGTTTGTTACTTTTCTGAATAAACATGACCATATGACACGTTTTCAATGAGTAAACGCTGAGCGAACAACGGTCGAATTAAGTTACAATCAATCTAATTCGGTTTCTTTCTTCATGTCATTAAAGATCCTTTCAATGCGTCAGTAATATAAAATATGATCAATAAAACAAACAATAACGATTCATCTAACGTAAGAATATATCCATCACTCGAAAATGATATTTCGGTGTCCTATGAGATAATGACATGATTACGACTAGGACATAAGGAAAGGCAAATGCTAATAAAATCATTATGGTCAAGACCGTACATCGAATCATTCGCAAATCTCTTTGTATACGACATAAGATGATAACTGGTGTCGGATATATGGAAGACCAATTTCACATAAATGATCATAATGGTCGCTACTGGAAGGATGGAAGTCAAAAATGAACCATGGAGTAAATAAAATGACAACCGAAAAGGTACTTGACATATTTGATTATTAGCATCATAGATAAGTTCATTAGCAAGTAGAAATACAATCGGATGTGTGTGACTAAAGATCTATGTTATAGAAATGAAAAATTGTTGAGATTTGAACGATTTCCAGAGCGTACAATTGGGATATTGAACATTGATGTAACGATAGAGAGCTTGAATTAAAACGGAATAATTCACTGCAGCATATGTTGAATAACTCAGATAGTCTTGAAATTCAACCCGTCGGAGATTATTTTGTAGTGTAAAAATAATCAAACTGAGTAAGGCACATCCATAGACAAGTGTGAACAAACATGTATTATAGCGATCAACATCATTGAAACTTTATGGCATATTTTACTGACAATAATGATATAGATAGGAAAATACCCAGCGATTGAGATACTTTGCATTGTACAGCTAGTGGTGAAAATATCGATCGGTATAAATCATGGCTCAGAAGATACTAAGATTACATTCGTGCTCATCTTGCAACGAGAGGAGATGGCCAAAGGCATTATACATACGTATGTTTCTCTCGTTACCAATGCAAAATCATAAAAAAAGCGATGTAAAGATTATAAATTGCTACTTCAGTAAACTAGTGAATTCTTTTCTAACTATTCGTGAATATTCATATGGTAATATCATCTAATTATGAAATTTTTACATGAAGATGATTCGGTTATGTACAGATAATGCGTTCATTAATCTGGTTTACACTATCGAATTTTTTTTCTACTTCGTGTCATTGTTATGTGGATAGCTTGTGCTTTAGAGAAATTCTTGTTAAAGTAAATATTTAACCTAAATAGTCTTTGACCTCAAATGCATAATTACAAAATATATTTTATAAATTGATTCAGAAATAAGTTCTGCTTGTTTCTCAGGTAATTCTAGTACTTTGCTATTTGACCAATCTGTAATCAGACGAGATAGTATTGATTTATTCGAACATCTTGGAGATGTAAATTTTGCTGATAACGAAAGCGATTGGGCTATCAGCTATTTCGATGCGTGTATTCATTTTTGAGTGTTATTTAGTTAAATAAAATACTTCTCAAAGTTTCACGACTTAAGAACAATTCAAACTGTTTGTATTCGTTGGAAAGTGACAAAAGAGCAATATTTCCTACTGATGCAATAGTCCTAAATCGAAGATAGACGTCGACAATTGGACAACTTATCCGATCCGCACAGGAACTTTCAAATTGGATGCAGAACTATTTATGACGAACACGAAGATACTTTACATCAACGTTATCAGTGGCTGTTTAACAACCGCACGTTAATGTCATTATTCTATCTCATCGCTTTTCACGGTCATTATCAAACTAATGATATACCATTCAGCATATATCAAAATAACATGTAATTGAAACGTTTCATAGAAAAAGACTCACTTTTGTTTTTCTTTGCAACAACTCTTCTGTAAACGTGCGTTTTTACCACCTTATCTATTTGGTCAAAGTCTTGATAACGACACCGAATTCTACAAAAGGAGACGGCAACAAATAGTAGGTATTCACCGCTGTTTCGGAATATTTCACAGCTATCACCATTTACTACGACTAGAACGAATTTTAAATTGTAGGTTCAGCGCGAACCAATAGGAATTTTCTTTAGATGGGTTGCACCAATAGTACTACGGATATAGACGACGTTATCGAACTCACTTCGGGCCCTGATGTGGACGATGACCCGAGCAAAACGTCTACTCCCACAGATCATACGCCAAATGCTGCAACGGACGACAAATTGAAACCAAATAATCCAAGTCCTGAAAAACAATTAAGCGAAAACAAAAAGAATCACAAACCTCCTACTAGTTCGAATAATAAATTCAAAGATCATGTTGACATTGTTTGGGTTGATGTCACTATTGATCCGTCAACAAATTCATATCAAGATTCGCTGACAAAACTTCAACGAATTACACCATCAGTCTACACATGCACAGACATCCAACAATGTCTCCACCATATCGATACCGTTCAAGATAAAAAGGTCTTTCTCATCGTGTCCGATGCACTCGGCGAACAGCTGCTACCTCTCGTTCATCACAAACCTCAAATCCATGCCATCTATATTTTCAGCCAAGCAAAACAACATCGTCTACCTTGGGCAGCCAAATGGTCGAAAAAAGTCAAAGAAATCCTCTTCAACATCGAAGACATTTACCAGAAGATCAAAACTGATAGCGCTCTCATTGGTGGTTCGACACCGATCAGTGTCATACGTCGAATGGATCTTCCCACGTCAGCTACCAACGAGCTCGATCCAGCATTCATGTACTCACAACTACTCAAAGACATTCTCATCGAAATGAAACATGAACCCGATGCAAAGAACAAGCTAGTCGAATACTGTCAGAGCAAATATGCAGATAGCATTTGTCAGCTGACGCTCATCGATGAATTCGCCATCGAATACAAGAGTGACTTGGCAGTCTACTGGTACACGAAAGAATCATTTCTGTATGGTTCACTCAATCGAGCTTTGCGGACACAAGATGTGGAAATGATCATGAAGATGGGCTTCTTCGTGCAAGATCTACATCGACAAATAGTGGAACGCTACAAACAACAATCGGAAACACGCGACGGCGGTAAGTTCGTGGTTTATCGAGGTCAAGGTGTGGCTCTGGAAGAGCTGGAAAAGATCAGGACGGGTCAAGGTGGTCTGCTGTCGTTTAATAACTTCCTATCGACCACTCTGAAGATAGAAGTCGCACAGCGCTTTGCACAAAATGCACATGGTAATGAAAATGTGGTGGCTGTGATATTTGAGATGGAGATCGATCCGAAAATATCGTCAGTTCCATTTGCGTCCGTCGACAAAGAGAGTGCAATCGAAGGTGAAAGTGAAGATCTGTTTTCGATGCACACGGTGTTTCGAATCATAGATGCCGTAGAAGTTGATCAGTTGTGGCAGGTGAGGTTAGTTCTGACAAGTGATAATGATGTGCAACTGAAGGTTCTTGGTGATTACATGAGAAAAGAACTTGGTGAAGGTGATTCAATGAGTAAACTTGGTCATCTGATGCTGAAGATGGGAGAATATAATCAAGCAGAAGATATTTATGCTACACACTTCGGCTCAAGAGAGAAAAATAACGCTCAGATACAGTCACACATTAATCATCAGCTGGGATATGTGTTCAGTGCAAAAGGAGACTACAAGACAGCACTTACCTATTATGAAAAGGCTCTTCAAGGTAAAGTCGATGCCGTGGGAGCGGAAGACTCATCTTTAGCTCCAACATATAACAATATTGCTGGTGTTTATCAGTCGTTGGGTGATTATCCTTCTGCGCTTTCGTCTTATCATAAAACATTAAGCATAGAAGAAAANGTCCGCTCATATGACTAAACATAGATCCGCAATCCGGATGATTCGGCGGTAACACTTTTTGACGAATTGCAAGTGCTTTCTCATAGAATGCTTTTGTCTTGTCGTAATTGGCCAATGTTCTATGCATTAATCCGATACTACAATACGTTGTGGCAAGCAGAGGATCATCCGTAGTTAAAGACTTCTCTTCAATTCTCCTTATCTTGATAAACATAAATCACACAGTCTCCGCATACTCATGACAAAAAAAGAGTTTTGACGAAAAACAGATTTTATCACAATTCTTTATATACTGTAAAAACTATTATTGAGATCCAAACGAATATCAAAAGCTTGCGGTTGCATCAAAATAAAAGGTAAATTTGAAGAAGTTGGGAAAAATCCTTAATAAAAAATATATCCCCAATTAGTATATACATCAACACGACTTTTCAAAGGTGCTTCGCGGTAGGATTTTTGAAATTTTCTTGATAAAAATTCATATACTCTTCAGTTAAAGTACTGACACCGAAGTAAGTGTGACTCCGCAACAAGTTCAGACGTAGGAAGTAGTTCGCTGCTGAGTCCTTGTAAAATGTTTAACCCTACCAAATAGTCTATTTCTCTGTATATCTATAGTCTTTGTTTACTGCATAGATTTAGTAGGACAAATACTCAGACTGAAAGCATAAAAAATATATCGGTCAGCTAGTTCACAACAATCATCTGAATTATTTCAAAGAAAGGTTGTTTTCACCTCACATTAGAAATGGGCTGCAATAATAGCGTGCATGTTGTTCAAGAGCCACTGGTGCCCTTACTTCATACAAACGACCCACAAGTAGAAAATATTAATACATCAGATATTATTACGACGCAACCGACTACGACGAACAATAACGACAATGATACCAAGTCTATATCCAACTCAAAGAAAAAAATAAAAAATCCATCCATAAATCCGGTTAGCCAGACTAATCAAAATGTTGTGATTATCTGGACAGATACCAATATAGATTTGTCTAAAAAATCATATCAAGATACGCTGACAAAACTTCAACGAATTACACCATCAGTCTACACATGCACAGATATCCAACAATGTCTCCACCATATCGATACCGTTCAAGATAAAAAGGTCTTTCTCATCGTGTCCGATGCACTAGGCGAACAACTGCTGCCTCTTGTTCATCACAAACCTCAAATCCATGCCATCTATATTTTCAGCCAAGCAAAACAACATCGTCTACCTTGGGCAGCCAAATGGTCGAAAAAAGTCAAAGAAATCCTCTTCAACATCGAAGACATTTACCAGAAGATCAAAACTGATAGCGCTCTCATTGGTGGTTCGACACCGATCAGTGTCATACGTCGAATGGATCTTCCCACGTCAGCTACCAACGAGCTCGATCCAGCATTCATGTACTCACAACTACTCAAAGACATTCTCATCGAAATGAAACATGAACCCGATGCAAAGAACAAGCTAGTCGAATACTGTCAGAGCAAATATGCAGATAGCATTTATCAGCTGACGCTCATCGATGAATTCGCCATCGAATACAAGAGTGACTTGGCCGTCTACTGGTACACGAAAGAATCATTTCTGTATGGTTCACTCAATCGAGCTTTGCGGACACAAGATGTGGAAACAATCATGAAGATGGGCTTCTTCGTGCAAGATCTACATCGGCAGATTGTCGAATTGCACAGACAACAGTCGGAAACACGCGACGGCAGTAAGTTCGTGGTTTATCGAGGTCAAGGTGTGGCTCCGGAAGAGCTGGAAAAGATCAGGACGGGTCAAGGTGGTCTGCTGTCATTTAATAACTTTCTATCGACCAGTCTGAACATAAAAGTTGCACAGCGCTTTGCACAAAATGCACATGGCAATGAAAATGTTGTGGCAGTGCTGTTTGAGATGGAGATCAATCCGAAGATATCGTCGGTGCCATTTGCGTTCGTCGACAAGGAAGGTGCATTCGAAAGTGAAAGTGAAGATCTGTTTTCGATGCACACAGTATTTCGAATCATGGGTACCGAACAAGTTGGTGATCGATTTTGGCAAGTGAAGTTAGCACTGACGAGCGACAATGATGTGCAACTGAAGGTTCTTGGTGACTACATGAGAAAAGAACTAGGTGAGGGTGATTCAATGAGTAAACTTGGTCATCTGATGCTGAAAATGGGAGAATACAATCAAGCACACGATATTTATGGCACGCAGATTGGGTCAGTAGAGGATAACAATTGGCGACGGCAGTCATATTTAAATCATCAACTTGGGTGGGTTTTTAGTCAGAAAGGTGACTACCGAACTGCACTCTCGTATTACGAAAAAGCTATTCAGAACAAAGGAGATGCTCTAGGAGCTGAGGATCCTTCTTTAGCTCCGACTTATCATAATATTGCTGGTGTTTATCGATCGTTGGGTGATTATCCTTCTGCACTTTCATCGTATGAGAAAGCATTGAGAATTGAAGAGAAGTCTTTAACTACGGATGATCCTCTGCTTGCCACAACGTATTGTAGTATCGGATTAATGCATAGAACATTGGCCAATTACGACAAGACAAAAGCATTCTATGAGAAAGCACTTGCAATTCGTCAAAAAGTGTTACCGCCGAATCATCCGGATTGCGGATCTATGTTTAGTCATATGAGCGGACTTTATCAAGAGATGGGCGATTACTCAAAGGCTCTCGAATATGCTCAAAAAGCACTCGACACTCGAAAAAGATCCCTCCCAGCAAAACATCCCGACTTAGCTACAAGCTATGGAAACTTGGGATCTGTTTATAGTTGGATGGACGATAAAAGCAAAGCACTGGAGTACTATGAAAAAGCTTTAGAAATAAGGGAAGCATCCCTTCCAGAAAACCATCCAGATCGAGCCAGTAGTTACAGTTGCATCGGATCAATACATAACACGATGGAAGATTATCCCAAAGCACTTTCCTATTTCGAAAGGGCACTTAAAATTCGGAAGCAGGCTTTTCCCGAAAATCATCCTATCTTTGCTGATACCTACGATAACTTTGGATCAGTTTATAGCTCAATGGATGAAAAGTCAACTGCATTGTCATATTATGAGAAAGCACTCCATAATCGTCAGTTTTCACTTCCATCGAATCACCCAGATACGGCTACTAGTTATAACAATCTCGGTATGGTTTACAGCTCGATGGGAGATAAACAAAAAGCATTAGCATCGTACAAAAAATCACTTCAATTGAAACAGAGCTCATTACCTCCGAATCATCCATCGCTTGTTCTCGCATACAATAACATCGGGTCGGTTTACCAATCGATGAAGGATTATCCAACCGCACAGTTTAACTACCAGAAAGCGTGTGAAATTTGTCAGAATAATCCACAACTGCGCCAATCAGATAAGTCAGTTGATACTTTCACCAAAATTGGTTCACTGCACTATCAGACGAAAGAGTACACTGTTTCTCTTTCGTTCTTTGAGAAAGCATTAAAAATACATAGTAAATTATCGGCTCCTGAAAATCGGGAACTGGCATATATTTATAATCAGGTCGGTGTGACCTATTCTGCAATGAAAGAATATGAAAAAGCACTCTCATACTACGAGAAGGAACTCCAAATTGAACACAAGCTTCTTCCTGCGGATCATCGAGATGTAGCAACTTCGTACAGTAACATTGGAATAGTTTATCATTCATTAAAAGATTACTCTAAAGCATTGGCTTATCACGAAAAGGCACGAGTGATTCGAGAAAACAAACTTTCACCTGATAGTCTCATACTTGCCTCTACTTTCTCTAATATCGCTGCTGTTTACTTCGANCACATTAATCATCAGCTGGGATATGTGTTCAGTGCAAAAGGAGACTACAAGACAGCACTTACCTATTATGAAAAGGCTCTTCAAGGTAAAGTCGATGCCGTGGGAGCGGAAGACTCATCTTTAGCTCCAACATATAACAATATTGCTGGTGTTTATCAGTCGTTGGGTGATTATCCTTCTGCGCTTTCGTCTTATCATAAAACATTAAGCATAGAAGAAAAGTCGCTTTCTACTGACGATCTAGCACTTGCAACTACGTACGGGAACATTGGACTAGTGCATCGTTTACTAGCAGATTATAAACAGGCACTTTCATTCTACGAAAGAGCGCTTGCGATTCGTCAAAAAACATTACCACTTAACCATCCTGACTTAGCAACCACGTATGGTAATATAAGTGGGTTGCACCAAGATATGGGTGACTATTCCAAGGCTCTCGAATATGCTCAAAAAGCACTTGACACTCGAAAAAGATCCCTTCCGTCAAAACATCCCGACTTAGCCACAAGCTATGGGAACTTGGGATCCGTCTATAGCTCGATGGGTGATAAAACAAAAGGGCTAGAGTACTATGAAAAATCACTGAAGATTCGAGAAGCATCGCTTCCAGAAAACCATCCAGATCGAGCTCATAGTTATAGTTGTATTGGATCGATATACAACGCGATGGAAGATTATTCCATGGCGCTTTCGTATTTTGGCAAAGCACTTGCAATCGAGAAGCAAGCTTTTCCCGAAAATCACCCTAGTTTCGCCAGTATTTACGATCATTATGGATCAGTCTACAGTTCAATGGACGATAAATCAAACGCGCTGTCATATTATGAGAAAGCACTCGCAATTCGTCAACGTTCATTTGCATCGAATCATCCAGATATCGCAATCAGTTACAATAATCTTGGTACAATTTATAGTGCCATGGAAGATCATCGAAAAGCCTTATCATCTTATAAAAAGTCTCTTAAAATCGAACAAAGTTCGTTACCTCCGAATCATCCATCAATTGTTACTTCGTATAACAACATTGGATCAGTGTACCAGTCAATGAAGGATTATTCTACTGCACAGTTCAACTACCAAAGAGCGTGTGAAATTTGTCAGAATAATCCACAGCTTAGCCAATCCGCTAAAGCAGCTGCGACTTACAGTAGAATTGGATCGCTGCATCATGCAACAAAAGAATATACTACTGCCCTAACATTTTTCGAAAATGCGCTCAAGATCCAGCGCAAATCACCGAATTCTGAGAGTCGCGAGACGGCTATGATTTATAATAATCTTGGTTTAACTTACAGTGCAATGAATGAGCACGAGAAAGCACTTTCGTATTACGAAAAATCACTTGAACTTGAACAGAAAACGCTGCCTGCAGATCATCGAGACATAGGAACTTCATACAGCAACATTGGAATAGTCTATCATTCACTACAAGATTACTCTAAAGCATTGGCTTATCACGAAAAGGCACGAGTGATTCGAGAGAACAAACTGTCACCTGATAGCCTCATACTTGCCTCTACTTTCTCTAACATCGCTTCCGTTTATTTCGACACCAAAGATTATACACAAGCAGTGACATTCTACAAGAAGAGTCTTCGTATACGAGAGAAATCTTCATCGACTGAGGAACTCGACTTGGCTACTAATTACAACAACATTGCTGCCGCATATAGTCACACCAATGATACATCCAATGCTCTACGATATTACCAAAAAGCGTTGACTATTCGAGAACGACAACTATCGTCTGATGATCCAACACTTGCATCAACCAACAACAGTATTGCCTCCGTATATTTCGATATGAAGGACTATTCGAATGCTGTCTTATTCTACAAGAAGGCAGCAACAATACGAGAAGGCAGCGCATCGCGAGATGAGGCCGAACTCGCAACGAACTATAATAATATTGCAGTTGCTTATAGTTGGATGAATGATGATGCGAATGCTCTTCAATACTATAAGAAAGCAGTGGTTATTCGCGAAAAAGTGCTTTCTGGCAACGATCTCGTTCTGGCTTCAAACTACACAAATATTGCATCGAAGTACAGTGCGATGAAAGAGTATGCGAAAGCAATCGAATTTTATGAGAAGTCAATCGCCATTCGTGAGGCGACTTCTTCCGGAGATGATGCAGAACTCGCAACGAACTATAATAATACAGCAGTTGCTTATAGCTGGATGAATGATGATGCGAATGCTCTTCGGTACTACAGGAAAGCAGTGGCTGCTCGAGAAAAGTCTGTCTCTCCAGATGAATCTTTACAGGCTGCCAATTACTCGAGTATTGCATCAATCTGTCATACTACAAAGGAGTATGCTAATGCAATCGAATTCTATAAGAAATCTATTGCCATTCGTGAGAAATCTCCAACAACGGATGAGCTTGATCTAGCGACTAACTACAACAATCTTGCTGTTGCATACAATGCTATCGAAGATCGACAACATGCTCTCAAATACTACAAAAAAGCAGTTGCCATTCGAGAGAAGAAGCTCTCTTCGAACGATCCATTGTTGGTCCCTCTCTATAGCGGCATTGCTTCAATCTACTCATCGATGGAAGATAAGACAGCAGCTATTGAATGGTATGAAAAATCACTCAGAATTCAAGAAACGTTACCCTCGCCAAATCATCAATCAATGGCTATAATGTATTACAACACAGCCAGAGCGTATGAAGATCTTAAAAATCTTTCTGCAGCTGTCACCAATGCTGAACGATCCCTTGTCATTGCTCGTTTAGCTTTTAGTTCGGACTTATCGAAAATAAAACTCTACGAAGATTTAGTGGAACGACTGCGCAAGAAACAATAACTGAACTGTTCCACTTTTCCTTTTTTCGATATTTCTACCGCCATCTTGTTGAAAGATAAATATTATACAATGTTAATCCAGACTAGATCCAAATATGTTTGACTACATATAAAGAGTTTGTACAGAACGCAAGAGAATTCAGACGAGATAGAATATTCATAGAGTGCAGTACATCTGTGGACGCGTTTTGGTATAGTCTAAATAGAATCGGCCGTCTATGCAGAAAATAACAATTGATTTCGATAACATTTTATACACATTCAGTGATGTCGATAACCACGATCGAAGATTTATCTGACGAAATTTTTTGTGAAATCTTCGACTATCTTGAAGGATACATTATTTTTCATGCATTTTCAAATCTTAACAATCGTTTTCAATCACTTCTCAGTTCACCATTAACACGATTGAATTTAAATGACAATGATATCGATGATCGAGCAAAGAGAATCTTTCTCGACAATTATAGCGATATTCTTTGTTATCATCAGCATCAAATTGTGTCGATTCATTCCTCGAGCCTCGAAAATACGCAACTGATCGCTCTGACAATCAATTTTGATCAATCATTTCAACATCTCCAATCATTGGCTCTTTATTCAATCGAATTAGAATCTTTACTACCACTTCTTTATCATTTGTCTTCATTACCACGTTTTATCGCACTAACGGTCGACCTTTCGACTGAAATAGGAAATCAAGCCGAAATCTATCAATTGATGCTTAATTTACGCAAATTGAAGTATCTCAAGTACAGAGCAGCTGATTCCAACGATTTCAATATCACTATTCCATTGGCAATACCAACTGCGCCACAGTTTACATCAATCGAATATTTGAATATGGATCATCCTTGTTGTGCCAAGGATCTTTTTACCGTCTTATCATACACACCCAAAGTTCGGCATTTGAAGTTGTGGAATCCGATCACTAAAGATGTGGATTTGAAAGCAATCGAAGCAATGAGATTAGCCAATTTAAGAACAGTCTCGATTGAGATTTATCAAATGTCCTATGATGAGTTCGAAATTTTCATCAAGAAACTACCGTCAAGACAATTAAACTCATTATCATTGGATATTCATCACGATGACATACTCTATCTCGACGCATATCGATGGGAATATTTTCTACAGGAAAACTTACCTCAATTGGAAAAATTCTATTTTAAATACTATGTGTATTTCTCCGAAAACTACGACACACCGATGTATTTAGGAGATCAAAATCAATTTAGTTCAGCCTTTTGGCTCGAACGACAATGGGTATTCAAAGTAGAAAACGATTGTACAGATTTGATCTATTCCATTCAACCATACCGGTAAGTAAAAATTGAAACTTTCCTCGCATTATCATCTGTATTTTCTGTTCGTCCAGACCAAAATGGTATGACTATGGTGCAAAATCGGTCGATTTATCGAAATCTGTCAAGTTCAAGGTAGCGAACTCATCCCCTGAATATTGGACAAAAACGATTACCATTATTGAATACATTCACCATGCCTTAACTGTGACACAAATTCATCACTTAGAGTTCTCATCGATGGTCACCTTGGAAAAATTAAATGAAATTCTCATTCTCTTACCGGATGTTAAGACATTAACATTATTAACATTGTATTTCTCTGACCAATCGTATATATCAGAGGACGAACTTCGACTGATAAGTCTTATGTTTCATACGAAACGTCTGGAGAAAATTTTTCTTCGTAAAATGGAACAAATGGTCGATCTGTTCTTTTTAATACTTATATCTTCTCGTATCGGTCATCTTCAAGTCAAGTGTATTGATTATCGGCATGCAGAATCGATGGTTGGACTGATTTTAATGGATATTAAACCGAAAGTGGACAATTCTCTTCGAACTCTGTCGTTTACACTCGAAAAGTTCGAACAGAATGTCATTGAAAAATTAACAAAAATGATCGATGAACGTACGTTACTTGATAATTATATCATCGAGAAAGCCAGGAACGAGATTTACATAAAATGGAAATGATTCTATTTTTTTATATTGTTGTTGTCGAATAGTAGAAATCATATTTAAATAAATTGTTTTTCAAGGATTAATCATGAAGGAATTCATGTTAGATTTTCGAGCAGAGTAGGTTCTCAGTGCAAGATGACATAAATACGATTTTTATTGATCATGGATAACGATGATATGATGGTTGGATGTTGTAAAAGCTACCTGTAGATATAATGACATGGTGAAAGATGTGATCGGATCAAGTGTTCTATGACATATATAAAACGTTTAAAGGACTTTATCGAGCTCTTATAAGGACAGATGCTATCGAACAGTTTGGTTTTATTTTGTATTTTCTCTCTCAACAATGAAGTGGTTGGTTACCTTCATCATACTCACTACGTTTTATCACAACTCGCTGAATGCAGTGCCGACAGTACAAGTAAGAGTACCTTTCGATATTGTATTGAAAATGGATAGAATATCTATTCCGATAGAAAAAACATCCCGTTAATCCAGAACAGATGGGTAAATTATTTTTGGATTAGAAATTTTTCTACTGATCTTGCCTTTCAGGTGGACATTACCAAGGTGATATGGTTTTTCCTGAAGACGCAGCGACAAAGGGAGCAGCCAGTCGACCCACATGGCAACGTTGGCCCAGTGGTGTTATTCCTTACGATATGACGTCATCTATTTGTATTTAATGGAACAGCATCATTGTCATCTTCTCACCTATTTCTGTTTAGTATCAAATCATTCTGCGTTGATACTTGACGCGATGCGGCGAATGGAGAATTTGACGAAAGTTAACGATCGGATGTGTATTCAATTTCGACCCAAAACCAATGCCGATCCCATATTCATCACAATTAAAAATGGCACTGGTTGTTCAGCTCACGTAATCGATTTTTTCAACAATAAAAGACGTTAAAATATTCTTAACTTTTCTCTAGGTTGGTTATCTACAAAACTTTACGTTAAATCGTACTTTAACGTTAATGTATGCACCGCCATATACATGTATGATAACAGGAATTATTCAACATGAACTGCTTCATATCCTGGGTAGACATAAACATGCTTGTTGGGATAAGATCAATCTTTTCTGTTGATTCTTCTAGGATTTTTCCATGAACAATCTCGTCCCGATCGAGACGACTATGTTTCTATTCAATGGGAAAACATTATCAATGGTACGTAATCATGAAAAAAAGGTTCTGTTTAATGGAAAATTTTTATGTATTCGCAGGTACGGAATTTAATTTTGCGAAGTATAGTGAGGGCGACATTGATTCGCTTGGATTACCGTATGACTACGGATCAGTGATGCATTACGACGGAAATGCATTTACATCGAACGGGCAGCCAACTATCATACCAAAAAGAAATGTCACGTCAACGTTAGGACAACGAGTCGGCATGAGTTCAATCGACATTGCTGAAGTACAACGATACTATGGATGTCTAACAGCTCCCACGCCATCGCTATCACCAAAATCGATCACATCGATTAGTTTGAAACTAGTTTTACTTATTTTTCATATAGGACTGTCTTGTGTTGATTTTGTCAAATAAATACATTTGACTCTTAATATTCTGATGTCTATCAGTTCTTGATTTACAACTGACGACATTCACAACCTTTATTTTGAATGAATTTGTAAACTGAAATGTTGTCGAAGACATCAGCACCGAGCGCGCAAACCCAATAAATGTTCAAGATATCCGATAATGATAGGTTGGTGGTTATATAAAGAAGAACATGATTGAAAATGATGCATATGGCAAGCCACAAGTATAGATGATATCGTAGCAAATAGAACAATTCGATGCATCTCTCTGGGCTGTTTGCGTGTACGTAGTAGCATACTCACTGGCTCAACTTGCCGATTCGTCCGTTTGACGCATCGAAATAAATTCTAGAATATCTGATGGATAATTGTCACGTATAGCCGTTTTTTTTACAAAGAAATATATAACCGAAACCGTCGTTTTATGCAAATACACGAAGCAATTTGATGTATCGAGATCTTTCTATCTGCCACAATTTTTCAACATGTGAGACGTTCGACATAGATACTTCTTAATTGCTATCGGGTACTCTCTTTAGGTCACTATATCGTGGCATTTCCATACCTGACACAAGCACGAGCATCCTGAGACCACGCTGACAATTGAAGCAATTAGAAGATCTCGTAATGGCACATGGGTATTACTAGTGGTCTATTGATGCTCTCGGAGTCGCATCGAACAAAGATGTCCTTCCTTTGATCGATATTTCGATATTTATACTCAATGATACTCAAGCAGCATATATTTCAGCGAGCAGATACAATCATTCATCCATCGATATTTGGTCTATATTTCTCCATTATGGCGATTTAATGATGTAGCAAAAACGCACTACTATGAGTCGACAAAGATTTCTGTAGATAATACGGGAACTACCTTCACCGATCAGGTCGTTTCGGTTCTTGGTTATCATTTCACAAGGACTTACATATGACGAATGACTGTCTCGGATCCGAGCTTATTAGCATAAGACTTTCCTAGTTTCAACCAAATATGATCATCCTATTCCGTTCTTTCTCTAGTGATCCTTTTGTACCCTTGTAAATCGTCTCGTCTTTACGATTCTTTTTCTTCTCCTAACACAAGAAACTAATTGTAATGATGTGGCTGAACATGCATTTTTTCGCAATCCGGTTTCGTAGGCAAAGCTCTAGATTTCTCTTTTGACTATCATCGTTCTTTGATCGAACATAAGCGATGAGTGAATCGCTTGATAAAAAGACTTCGTTATTATTTCATTAATACTAATTCTGGAAACATTCGCATAATTTTGTCAACCAAGAAAAACTAGATATAGAGAATAACAAAAACTTCTTCAATAATAGTTGCCATATTATGGCAGAACAAACACGTACATATACAATCAACGAATACTCAACGTGAACGAGAAGTCTTACGAAACCAGTAGAGAATTATATATGAAACTGTGTGCTCTGACTGATGCTTAGAGCTTTCCTTGTCGGAAGACATGATTTTCGTCGTTAAAAGTCTCTTGGTTTCTTCATTGAATTGACTTTTCAATTTCTGTTAGTAAATAGTCGAAGCCGTGCAAAACCTTATGCAATTGTTGAAAGATAAAAAAAAAAGGTGTGTTTACTTGGTTTGATAAGTATAGCGCTGCTGAGATACACGATGAAACGATTGAGAGAAAAAATAAATAAAAAAGAGACACGACAGAACGAACAGTATGGTGTTGTTTATCGTTTTGTTGATTACAATATTTAATGGCATTGCTTGTCGTAACGTAACGATTAGCAATGTTATTCCTCGTCGAGATACAAATGAATCAATTCTTGATGCGCACGATGGCAATGTTTTCCTTTACGCTGGTCTTTATTATTACTATGGTGCAAGTTATGGTCTATGTAAAGAACCGCCAGGACCATCAGGATGCACTGTTTGGCATGTCGGTGGATGTGGATTTCAACTCAATCATAACGTTAGCCTATATACCTCGCCAGATCTTTCCGTGTGGACATTTCGTGGCTATGTTTTTCAAATGTCGTCCATGAAAACGCCCGGTATTATGTTCGGTCCTCGCGTTTTACCAAATCGAAAAACAAACAAATGGGTCATGTGGTTTAACTTTCTTCCTGCAAGTGGCACAGGGGTCTCGCAGTCACAGTGTGCTGTAGCCATAGCCGATACATCGCAAGGTCCTTTTCAACTTGTAACTGACAAAGTCACCACTTTGGCATGGGAAAATACAGGTGATCTAAATCTTTTTCAGGATACCAATGGTGACGCTTATATTATATACAATGCACATATCGACGCATCGGTATATAAACCAGATCATCTGATGTCGATCGAAAAACTTACGGATGATTATCTTAGTTCACTCGGAAAAGAATTCAATAGTGGATTCTTTGGCCAAACGTTCGTTGAAGGTGGAGCNGACTATTCGAGAACGACAACTATCGTCTGATGATCCAACACTTGCATCAACCAACAACAGTATTGCCTCTGTATATTTCGATATGAAGGACTATTCGAATGCTGTTTTATTCTACAAGAAGGCAGCAACAATACGAGAAGGCAGCGCATCGCGAGATGAGGCCGAACTGGCAACCAACTATAATAATACAGCAGTTGCTTATAGTTGGATGAACGATGCGTCAAATGCTCTTCAATATTACGAGAAAGCATTAAATATTCGAGAAAAGCTCCTTCCTGTAAACGATTTAGTATTAGCTACAAACTGTACTAGCATTGCAGCACAATATAATTTATTAAAACAATACACAAAAGCGATTCAATTCTATAAGAAATCTATTGCTATTAGTGAAAGTTCTTCTGCGACTGCTAATCTCGACTTGGCCACTAATTATAACAATATCGGCAACGTTTACACGTCTATAGACGATAAATCTAATGCTTTACATTATCACCAGAAAGCACTGGCTATTCGTAAACAGAGTCTGCCGTCCGATGATTTGACGCTAGCATCAACTTACAACAATATCGCTTCGGTATATTTTGACATGGAGGATTATACCAGTGCAATATCTTTTTATGCAGAGGCAGCTACGATTCGTGAAAGATCACCTTCAAGAGATGAACTTAATCTAGCGACTAACTACAACAATCTTGCTGTTGCATACAATGCTATCGAAGATCGACAACAGGCTCTCAAATACTACAAAAAAGCAGTTGCCATTCGAGAGAAGAAGCTCTCTTCGAACGATCCATTGTTAGTCCCACTCTATAGCGGCATTGCTTCAATCTACTCATCAATGGAAGATAAAACATCAGCTATTGAATGGTATGAAAAATCACTCAGAATTCAAGAAACGTTGCCCTCGCCCAACCATCAGTCAATGGCTATCATGTACTACAACACAGCCAGAGCGTATGAAGATCTTAAAAATCTTTCTGCAGCTATTAGCAATGCTGAACGGTCCCTTGTTATTGCTCGTTTAGCTTTTAGTTCGGACTTATCGAAAATAAAACTCTACGAAGATTTAGTGGAACGACTGCGCAAGGAACAATAACTGAACAGTTTTACTTTTCCTTTTCTCTATATTTCTACCGCCATCTTGTTGAAAGATAAATATTATACAATGTTAATCCAGACTAGATCCAAATATGTTTGACTACATGTAAAGAGTTTGTACAGAACGCAAGAGAATTCAGACGAAATAGAATATTCATAGAGTGCAATACATGTGTGGACGCGTTTTGGTATAGTCTAAATAGAATCGGCGGTCTATGCAGAAAATAACAATTGATTTCGATAACATTTTATACACATTCAGTGATGTCGATAACCATGATCGAAGATTTATCTGACGAAATTTTTTGTGAAATCTTCGACTATCTTGAAGGATACGTCATTTTCCATGCATTTTCAAATCTTAACAATCGTTTTCAATCACTTCTCAGTTCGCCTTTAACACGATTGAATTTAAATGACAATGATATCGATGATCGAGCAAAGAGAATCTTTCTCGACAATTATACCGATATTCTTTGTTATCATCAGCATCAAATTGTGTCGATTCATTCCTCGAGCCTCGAAAATACGCAACTGATCGCTCTGACAATCAATTTTGATCAATCATTTCAACATCTTCAATCATTGGCTCTTTATTCAATCGAATTAGAATCTTTACTACCACTTCTTTATCATTTGTCTTCGTTACCACGTTTTATCGCACTAACGGTCGACCTTTCGACTGAAATAGGAAATCAAGCCGAAATCTATCAATTGATACTTAATTTACCCAAATTGAAGTATCTCAAATACAGAGCAGCTGATTCCAACGATTTCAATATCACTATTCCATTGGCAATACCAACTGCGCAGCAGTTTACATCAATCGAATATTTGAATATGGATCATCCTTGTTGTGCCAAGGATCTTTTTACCGTCTTATCATACACACCCAAAGTTCGACATTTGAAGTTATGGAATCCGATCACTAAGGATGTAGATTTGAAAGCAATCGAAGCAATGAAATTAACCAGTTTAAGAACAGTCTCGATTGAGATTTATCAAATGTCCTATGATGAGTTCGAAATTTTCATCAAGAAACTACCGTCAAGACAATTAAACTCTTTATCATTGGATATTCATCACGATGACATACTCTATCTCGACGCATATCGATGGGAATATTTTCTCCAGGAAAACTTACCTCAATTGGAGAAATTCTATTTTAAATACTATGTGTATTTCTCCGAAAACTATGACACACCGATGTATTTAGGAGATCAAAATCAATTTAGTTCAGCCTTTTGGCTCGAACGACAATGGGTATTCAAAGTAGAGAACGATTGTACAGATTTGATCTATTCGATTCAACCATACCGGTAAGTAAAAATGAAACTTTCCTCGCATTATCATCTGTATTTTGTGTTTGTCTAGACCAAAATGGTATGACTATGCTGCAAAATCGGTCGACTTATCAAAATCTGTCAAGTTCAAGGTAGCGAACTCATCCCCTGAATATTGGACAAAAACGATTACCATTATTGAATACATTCATCATGCCTTAACTGTCACGCAAATTCATCACTTAGAGTTTTCATCGATGGTCACCTTGGAAAAATTGAATGAAATTCTCATTCTCTTACCGGATGTTAAGACATTAACATTATTAACATTGTATTTCTCTGACCAATCTTATATATCAGAGGACGAACTTCGACTGATAAGTCTTATGTTTCATACGAAATGTCTGGAGAAAATTTTTCTTCGTAAAATGGAACAAATGGTCGATCTGTTCTTTTTAATACTTATATCTTCTCGTATTGGTCATCTTCAAGTCAAATGTAATGATTATCGGCATGCAGAATCGATGGTTGGACTGATTTTAACGGATATTAAACCGAAAATAGACAATTCTCTTCGAACTCTGTCGTTTACACTCGAAAAGTTCGAACAGAATGTCATTGAAAACTTAACAAAAATGATCGATGAACATAAGTTACTTGATGGTTATATCATCGAGAAAGCCAAGAACGAGATTTACATAAAATGGAAATGATTCTATGTTTTTTTATATTGTTGTTGTCAAATAGTAGAAGTCATATTTAAATAAATTGTTTTTCAAGGATTAATCACACAGGAATTCAAGCTAAATTTTCGAGCAGAGTGGATTCTCTGTACAAGATGACATGGATACGATTTTTATTGATCATGGATAACGATGATATGACGGCTGGATGTTGTAAAAGCTACCTGTAGATTTAATGACATGGTGAAAAGATGCGATCGGATCAAGTGTTCTATGACATGCATAAAACGTTTAAAGAACTTTTTCGAGCTCGTATAAGAACAGATGCTTTCGAAAAGTTTGGTTTTATTTTGTATTTTCTCTCTCAACAATGAAGTGGTTGGTCGCCTTCATCATACTCACTACGTTTTATCCCAATTCGCTGGATGCAGTGCCGACAGTTGAAGTAAGAGTATCTATCGATATTGTATTAAAAATGGACAGAATATCTATTCCGATAGAAAAAACATCCCGTTAATCCAGAACAGATGGGTAAATTATTTTTAGATTAGAAATTTTTCTACTGATCTTGTGTTTCAGGTGGACATTACCAAGGTGATATGGTTTTTCCTGAAGATGCAGCAACAAAGGGCGCAGCCAGTCGACCCACATGGCAACATTGGCCCAGTGGTGTTATTCCTTACGATATGACGTCATCCATTTGTATTTAATGGAATAGCATCATTGTCATCTTCTCACTTATTTCTGTTTAGTATCAAACCATTCTGCATTGATACTTGACGCGATGCGACGAATGGAGAATTTGACGAAAGTTAACGATCGTATGTGTATTCAATTTCGACCCAAAACCAATACCGATCCCATATTCATCACAATTAAAAATGGCACTGGTTGCTCAGCTCACGTAATCGATTTTTTTCAACAATAATAAGCGTTAAAATATTCTTAATTTTCCTCTAGGTTGGTTATCTACAAAACTTTACGTTAAATCGTACTTTAACGTTAATGTATGCACCGCCATACACATGTATGATAACAGGAATTATTCAACATGAACTGCTTCATATCCTAGGTAGACATGAACATGCTCGTTTGGATTAGATCAATCTTTTCTATTGATTCTTCTAGGATTTTTCCATGAACAATCTCGCCCGGATCGAGACGACTATGTTTCTATTCAATGGGAAAACATTATCAATGGTAAATAATCATGAAAAAAACTTCTGTTTAATGGCAAATCTTTATGTATTCACAGGCACGGAATTCAATTTTGCGAAGTATAGTGTGGACGACATTGATTCGCTTGGATTACCGTATGACTATGGATCAGTGATGCATTACGCAGGAAATGCATTTACATCGAACGGGCAACCAACTATCATAGCAAAAAGAAATATCACGTCAACGTTAGGACAACGAGTCGGCATGAGTTCGATCGACATTGCTGAAGTACAACGATACTATGGATGTCTAACAGCTCCCACGTCATCGCTATCACCAAAACTGATCACATCGATTAGTTTGAAACTAGTTTTACTTATTTTTCATATAGGACTGTTTTGCATTGATTTGGTCAAAATGAATACTTTTAATTTTTAATATTTTAATGTCTATCAGTTCTTGGTTTACAACTGACGATATTCACAACCTCTGTTTTAAATAAATTTTTAAACTGAAATGTTATCACAGACATCAGCATCGAGAGAAAACCCAATAAATGTTCCAAATATCTGATAATGGTCGGTTGATGATGACGTAAAGAAGGACATGACTAAAACGATGCATCTCTCTGAGTTGTATGCGTGTACATAGTAGCACACTTGCTGCCTTAACTGCGCCGACTCGTCCGTTTGAAACATCGAAATAAATTCCAGAACATCTGATGGATAATTGTCACGGGTAGTCGATTTGTACAAAGAAATATATAACCGAAACTGTCGTTTTATGCAATGCATGACAGGAAAAGTGAGAGCTAGGCGCGAAGCAATTTGAAGTATCACGATATTTCTATCTGCCACAATTTCTCAACATGTAAGACGTTCGATATAGATACTTCTTAATTGCTGTCAGGGTCGCATCGAACAAAGATGCCTTTTAATCGATACCACTTCAACCAGGAGCACCTTATAGTGCAGACAACATTGTGAGTCCTTATTTCGTTATTTTTCTCTTTAATCATTTCTGTAATTCAGAAATAATTACACATTTTAAATTAAATTGGCATTCACCATGGTATGAGACCATACAGTCGACCCATCGATGATTGATTGGGGCCCAGAACGTATTTGGTCATTCGATGATGTGAACGAATCCTTTATATTCAATGATACTCAACCAGTATACGTTTCAGCGAGTAGATATAATGATTCGTCCATCAAGGTTTGGTCTGTTTCTCGATTAGGGCAATGTAATGATGTAGTAAAAACATACTGTGCTCTACTCGGAGAATTGATGAAATGAACTTCTGTGAGTCGACAAAGATATCTGTAGATAATACGGGAACAACCTTCATCGATCAGGTCGTTCTGAGTGAAGTAGTTTCGGTTCTTCGTTATCATTTCACACCACAGTCTACGGTCGTGCTAATCTTATCATGGGGACCACATATGACGAATGACTGCCTCGGATCCGAGCTAATTACCATAAGACTTCTCTGGTTTCAATAAAATGTGATCATCCAGTTTCGTTCTTTCTCTAGTGGTTCTTTCTATCCTTGTAGATCGTCTCGTGTTTACGATTCTCTTTCTTCTCCTGACACAATAAACTAATTGTAATGATGTGGCTGAACATTCGTCTTTTCGCAATCGGGTTTCGTAGGCAAAGCTCTGGATTTCTCTTTTGACTAGCATCGTTCTTTGATCGAATATAAGCGGTGAGTGAACCGCTTGACAAAAAGATTTCTTCATTATTTCGTTGGTAATAATTCTGAAAAACTGGATAAAGAATAACAAAAGCTTCTTCAATAATAAAATTGCAATATTATAGCAGGACGAACGCGCACATATACAATCAACGAATACTCAAAGTGAACGAGAAGTCTTACGAAACCAGTAGAAAATTCTGATGTAATCATCATTCAGTTCAGAACGAGGATAGATTTCAATATAACGCATACTATCAAATAGGATAGCCTTACTCGGATATCCAATCGTGTAAATGAGGGTCTTTTCTACAATTAACGTCTTCATTTTTCTCGTCAAGCGTGAGAATTATATATGAAACTGTGTGCTCTGACTCATGCTTACAGCGCTCTTTGTCGGAAGACATGATTTTTATCGTTAAAAGTCTCTTTTTTACTTCATTGAATTGATTTTTCAATTTGTGTTATGAAATAGTCGAAGCCGTGCAAAACCTTATGCAATTGTTGAGAGATAAAAAAAGGTGTGTTTACTTGGTTTGATAAGTATAGCGCTGCTGAGATACACAATGAAACGATTGAGAGAAAAAATAAATAAAAAAGAGACACGACAGAGCGAACAGTATGGCGTTGTTTATCGTTTTGTTGATAACAATATTTAGTGGCATTGCTTGTCGTAACGTAACGATTAGCAATGTCATTCCTCGTCGAGATACAAATGGATCAATTCTTGATGCGCACGATGGCAATGTTTTCCTTTACGCAGGTCTTTATTATTACTATGGTGCAAGTTATGGTCTATGTAAAGAACCGCCAGGACCATCAGGATGCACCGTTTGGCATGTAGGTGGTTGTGGATTTCAACTCAATCATAACGTTAGTTTATATACCTCGCCAGATCTTTCCGTGTGGACATTTCGTGGCTATGTTTTTCAAATGTCGTCCATGAAAACGCCCGGTATTATGTTCGGTCCTCGCGTTTTACCAAATCGAAAAACAAACAAATGGGTCATGTGGTTTAACTTTCTTCCTGCAAGTGGCACAGGTGTCTCTCAGTCACAGTGTGCTGTAGCCATAGCCGATACATCGCAAGGTCCTTTTCAACTTGTAACTGACAAAGTCACTACTTTAGCATGGGAAAACACAGGTGATCTAAATCTTTTTCAGGATACCAATGGTGACGCTTATATTATATACAATGCACATATCGACGCATCTGTATATAAACCAGATCATCTAATGTCGGTTGAGAAGCTTTCAGATGATTATCTTAGTTCACTAGGAAAAGAATTTAACAGTGGTTTCTTTGGTCAAACGTTCGTTGAAGGTGGAGCTATGTTCAAACGTAATGGTGTTTACTATGCTGTCTTCGGCCAGTGTTGTTGTTATTGTTCAGAAGGATCTTCTGTTACTGTCTATAGTTCTCTGTCTCCTCTCGGTCCGTTCGACACAATGAATAACCTAGGAAATGACGGTCATGCTCAACTGTATAACATTCTTCCATATAAAATTTCTGGGACGGATAGTTACGGATATATTTGGCAAGGAAACAAATGGCAAAGTTCTCCGGATGGTGCTAAAGGACATGATTTTACCTATTGGGCACCGTTATCTTTCGATCCCAACGATTCCATACGCTACATGAACTATACTGCTAATTTTACTATCAATATATGAGTTCGGAAGTCTATTTTTGAAAAGAAAAATATAAGTATCAACGAATGTTTCTGTCACTTTGTGCTTAAACTACGTTTGCTGTATGAAGAGGAATGGCTTTCTTGATATTCGTTTGCTTGTCTGCTGGATTTTCTGGCTTATTATCGACATCGCATACGAGTTGCCCAGTCTTGTTCTGTTCTATTGGCGTTACTTTTGTCGAATGCGTTGAATGACCGAGCCTGTTTTTGTATAAAATGTGATTTTTCGATATGATATCGAATGATTTTAGAGTGACATGTATAGTAATTTGATACTAAGATAAAGTAATCCAAACAATTCCAAGCAAAAAATGGTAAAGAGTCGGTCGTGAAAAATAATTTCATTTGATCGCGCTATCGGAGTTTGTTGGTTTACGATATAAAGCAATGATTCAGTCGACATAACTAGTGTTAGTGTCATTGCGAAAAATGCATAAGTCTGAGCCTTCGATCGTTCATGAAATATGCCATCAATCGAATTCTTCATCAATAGGAGCCAAAGACCTGCAAATCTATGTTCATCTCCAACACGAAGAAACTCTGTTACGTTAGTCACTCTCGTTAGCTCCAATTTAATTGTGCAACTTTGTGATGATGCCTCCACGTAGCGATGAAGTGAGGATGAGCACTGTAGTTCTTGTACAGCGTAATCATTTACTGTATTTCCTTCGTCTGCTTGTCCCTTGATACTCGTACGAAAACCACCGATGGGATTGATACCCTTCGAGGTGTATCGAAACTGTCCAGAATGTTTTGTGATGTGAATGATAACAGAGACGATATACTATTAAGATTCTTGAGTAGAGTTGATGTCCAATGGATGATATATGGAATAAAGATATTCTTCAATGTCGACAAAGTCGATGGTCAGTGTCAAGTCTTGTTCGTCAAGCAAGTCGAAGACGAATTCTTTCTCGTCGTCTCGTGATATCATCATCGATTGAATACTGGTAGAAAATTCAGCGTTAGGAAGGCTATAGTCGCATGTGAATATCGAATTACCCACTGCTTCACCTAGATACTGATTAAGAAACACACTGTTATGATTTGCTGATCCCGAAAATATGTTCCATAAGAATGTCATCCAATACATCCGACTCAGATGGTGATAGATAAGCTAATGCCGACTGGACATAGAACATTCTCAGCCAACATGGATATAGTGATGAAAAGCGCTGAAATTTGTTCCACGATCGAGTTGGTTGTCGAGAAGTAACTAGCTGGTGCTGGCCGAATGACGCACATTTGCCCGTTGTTATCCATATAGTGCCGAATTCGTTCCATACCGGCATTTAGTCGTTGAGAAAAACTACTCGAGGCGTTACAAACCTTACATCACTGTTACTATGGATATAAATATTCGATGACATCCATTCGTATTAAAGGGGATCTTTATTCGCTAGTACGGGTCTTGTCGAATCTTCGTTTAACCAAGCTACTCTTCTGCCTTATCCAATATATCCTCCATTCCGTTGACTTGCCAAGTAATTCAACTGATTCGATGCTACCACAACCTCGAAGCGAAAAACAGCGTTTATGATTTGTACTCCAACAATCGCCTGATTTGAATCGCTGCCGATTGAAACTGATATGAGATATTTTGATTTAACTACATCAGCATCCCAGTTCATCAATGATGATTGCCGTGCAGGACTGGCCGCTGAATAGGTCTAGCTATCAGCTACTTGTACCATATGTTGATAATTTTTCATTCCGCTTTGTTGGGCAAAGCCAGCAACTGTGCCCGACGGATGAACCACCGAGTACTGTGCATTCTTTATGATCGTTTGCTACAGTAAAATAATGAATATTCGATTGAATCGGACAGAACAGTATTGAGCTGCTATAGAGTCGTCCAATAAACAAAACCTTTGCTCGATGTATCTGTTGAAGTGTAATCCTCACCAACGAACACAACAATCATCGACGATGAGTCTGAATCATTCGTCTGTTTACCAGCCGCCAGATGATAGATCAAATTAACATCGAGAGTACATAGTCCAGGATGATCAATTAAACATATGGATCGCTAATGTTGTTTGAATCAAATAGACCGAATTAAATGGCCAATTTTTCGATGTCGTTTCTTGTTACACGAACAAGATAATCGTTGGCAGTTAATTTATTTCCAAAAGCATCGAAATTGTGCCACTGGAGATCGAATGTGGTTAACCCAATCTCTAGTAAACATGCCATAAGAGCAATAAGTAAAAACATGTTTTTACCCATTTTATCTAATGACAAGTGTGAACGTAGTTCAGCTTTTATATTCAATTTATTTGTTCAAAAATAACAATTTGTCAACAAGAAAAAGGAAACTAATGAATAGTTGTGCGAAATATTTACTCTTCGTTTTATACTTTAACAAATATATGAGATTTTAATATTTATTCTAAGCACCATTTACGTCACAGCATGTTTGACGATAAATAGTCAACTTGTTTATCTAGATGATGAGATTCACAAATTGAACCACAAGTGACGAACAAGTACAGTTAAATAGATCAAATATATATTTGAGGGTGAGGATGAGGGTGACACTATATTGACAATCAGTAGTCATTCGTCGCCACATCTATTTCATGTCATGTGATGATTCCTTATGTGTTCAGACGAATTGAAAACGATAATAACAAGTCATTATATATCAATAGCGATTATGAATATGTTGAATTTTTCTAATCAAAATAACGATATTTTTATCAATCAGGTCGTGGAATTTTTTAATCGTACATCATTGCTATTGATTTTGGTGCATAATAATTAAAATAAAGGACTTTTTGTATCATTCATTTCCGAGAGCACTTAATTTTATAATTATTTATTTCAAAATTTTTATTCTCGCATTCAGCAAAAGATAATAAAATCATAATAATCTGTTTTGAAAAGAAACTACAAAGGAATTTATACATGAAGCTTATCCAATTCTTCTTCGACCTGACTAATCCATTCATTTTCTTCTTTGACTTTTGGATGGTCTGTTGGAAAATTGACCGAGTTGACTTTTTGCGATTTTTTAGCATATTCTAGTGCCTGTTCAAGAAATCCGTGTTCATACGATACTATGGATAAACTCTGATATGTTTTGCCCAGAAGGAGATGATCTGAAGGTAAGGAAGTCTGCTGGATTAGTAGGGTTTTCTTCCAATATTCAGCTGCCTTTTCACTGTGTCCTTGTAAATAATAAGTGTGTGCAATATTATTACATGTCGTTGCGATCATTGGATGAGTGCGAGGAAGTACTGACAAACGAATTTCTAACGACATTTCATACATTAACAACGCTTCTTCATAACGCTGAATTTCTTTACAGACAGTTCCGATATTGTTGTAGCAAATTGCAAGAGAGATTTGATCTGGATTTGTACTAGCACGATGAATTCGTGCCGCATTCCTGTACATGAGTGCTGCAAGTTCATATTCCTGTTGTGAAAAATATACCCCTCCAAGATTGTTATACGTAATAGCTAATGATGGATTAGTGTCAGCATTTGTGAAATGTTTGCATTTCAAATCGAGTGATATTTGAAAACATCTGATAGCTTTATTGATTTGTTCCATCAATTTATAATTAAGACCAAGATCATTATATACAGCAGCTATACATCCAGCATTCTGGCTGGCAATAGCAGGACCAAATGATAGTATATAAAAATTTTCTGCTTTGTCGTACCGTGCAAGTATACCCATTAGTTTTGCTAAACTTACCAAAGGGATGGGTTGAACAATATCATTTTTCACATATTTCGTTAATTTGCATAAATCGTCGTCTTCTTCGTCAGTAAGTTTTAATGTTACATGCCATAATTCATTATCCATTAACATGATTCGAAATACAGCACCCATGGCGAACAGTATTTCACCTTCATCATTACCAAAAGCACTTTTTTTGGATAGTTTTGCAAATGGAAATTTCGTTATACTTTCATCTGCATTAATTTGAAAGAGAATGTGTACTATTTCACCGTTAACGAAAAATATAGCCAGCTCTTTGTTTGTTGTTGTGGATAGAAATGTATTTACTGATAGGAAACCATTCATATGATAACGAATTTTTTTATTAAACTCATTTAGATTCATTAGTTGTCCTCGATACATCGTTTTAATATTAGCATTCGCCGTGCTTTTAGTGTCATTTTTCGATAAATGATGCAACTCTATCAATTGTTCATGCAAATCTTTGATAAAATATCTCAATCCATAAAGTGTGTCGATGTCCTGTTCTCTAAGTGCCTTATTTAAAAAACGATAGAGAAATGTATCACGAGTATACCAAAATATAGCATTGCATGGATCGTAGTACTCTTGAAATTCATCGATAAATACTAATTGTGATTTGTTATTCGCATATATTTTTTCTGACAATAGTCCAGCAGTTCACCTTCGGTTGAATTTATCTGAACTAGAATGTCTCTTACAATTCCAGCATACATAAATTCAGCTTCTTGACGTTTTGTTTCTTCGTCAGAAACAAATGAACCAGTTTCATCGTTACTAAAACTAGATAATGAGTTGAACATACAATCTTCGCTCGACAATCGATTTATTTTTTTGTTGATCTTGTTTTTCTTCTACAAGTGATACCTTTTCGGATTCATTTGTCGAATAACTACGTATTTTAGTACCTTCTGGGAATTGTCTTATGTCTTCTGTTGAGTCAAGACTAAATAGATATATAGAATCAATTTCAATTAAATCTTCCATTAATTGTATGAATGCTGAATTAATTGTATTTTCCAACGGTAAATTTGTTATCATAATCAATAATATTTTTATTGTTGAATTAGATATTTTACTTAATTCATCTATAAATTCATGTTTATCATGCAATACTGTAATATTATTGATGTTATTTGCTGTATTGCTTATTAAAGAATGAAACTCTGATGAAATACAATCTTCTTCAATTGATTGAGTTTCGTTTAGCCAAATAATATGTAGTCGATGGTTTTCCAGCATATCACTTCGCTGATACCGCCTATGAAATATACAAATAATCTGCTTTTGCACACTGCCTATATGATTGCAAGAACTATTGAAAAATTTGAGCAACTAATATGATCAAAGTCTACTGTCTGTTGTGCCTCTTCTGCATTGATATGCTTTTAATAAGTTCAGTTTTGAGCTTCGCAGATAATATCGTCTGTTGAGAATAACACAAAATATTACATACCTTGTGTAAATACTGGGTGAAATGTGTTGGTTTTTTTCAATACTACCATACATTTTCTCTTTTTCTTTTCTTCTATTCTATTCACAACAAAAACATGAATTCTCCCCATTTTATTATTTTGTGCGTATGAGTCATATGTTTTATCAAACGCCATCTTTCCTCTCTATGACTCTCCTATTTGTCAAAGTCTATGATTATCTTCCCTTAGTATATCAATCATTAGCTTTTATATTAATCAATAGACTTTTGACTAAACCGTATACCGTTTAATTCGATATGCTATATGATCATACGCTAACTGTACAGGGTTATATTTGTACTTGCCATTATTTGCTACAATTGTCTAGTGCGAATTCTAGTAATCGTGTGCTCTTAATGAACTCTCTGCGGTAGCAGTCAGAGATGGGCAGCTCTGGCCTTTTTCGCGCTCCGCTTCCCTTACCCGGATCAAAATTGAGGTTATAGAGTTCTACAGGTGTTGGTCAAGATGAGCTATATGCGGTTATACAAAGTTGGTGGATGTGGGTTTAAGTGATCAACTAAAGTATTCATACCCTCATCTCACTCACCCAAGTAGACTAGGAACTAAGAATAACGCGTATAGGCCGCACATTTTCAACACGTTAAAACGTGTTCAGTTAGATTAATTAGAGACAAGTCCTATGGTTCCCGGTAACCTGAGTCCACACATTATACTTCTTATTTGTCGAAAAAGTTTTTTGTTTTCAGACCTTCAGCCGCATCTACACCTACTATGATATCATTTATTATCTTTAGTTGATTTCAATCAAAATTCTTTATTTCTCATTAATATTTCAAAAGAGGGTACTTTGATATATATATGAACATGGATTAAAAAGAAGGATTGTGCAAAAGAATATTGAAATTTTGTGCTGAACGTTTTTCGACGATACATTAAATTGAACTGTGAGATATAAAGTTCAAGTTTCTGATTTCATGAATCGTCATCCCAAGCTGCACCACTGTCGATCAAACGTTTACCTTCTTCGATTGCAAGCTGAGTTTTTTCACTAGGACCACCTAGCTCATCAATTAATGCAGTCAGTTCAGTATTTCGTTTATTTAGTTCTGTATCAAAGGCTGCTTTTCGTTCGATAATGAGAGCTTCGATTTCTTCAAGAGCGACATCCGTCTGATTTTTCAAAGTTTCCATTAATTCTCTTCGTTCTGATTCATTTCGGGCGGTAAGCATACTTGAAAGGCCCGCGAGTCGACCCATTAAATATTTGCTTGATACTTCGTAGTAAGTGCGTGACATAACAAAAAGAATATAAGATTCACGATGAATACCGTAGGTCTCTTCTTTGAGCGTATCTATCAATTGGAGACGCATGGCATGTTCTACATCAGTGCCGGCACCAGCCACTTGAAGGAATCTTTTCAATGGACCTTTGATCATATCTTTGATCAATACAGACATTTGATTGAAGAAGCGCACGAAGTTATCCCATTGTTGATGTACTTTACTAAGTAACTCCAAAGCTTTTCTGAGCATAGCGATGATTTCGTTATAATTAATAGTCGCTAAATTGATTGTCATCATCTTGGCACTCATTTGACGCATAACCTCTAATAGTTTAAGGTATTCAGCAGCTTGTTCATCTTGACGACGTCGCATTTCTGTGAGATGAGTCTGTGCTATCTGAGCTTTTCGCACTTCATTTTGAGATGAATCATCCGCACTCGGAGTATCATGAGATCCAACCGTGGATATAGTTCTTGAAGCAGTCTCCGGATTTGCCTGTTGATTAGCACTTTGCAATGAATCAAGATCATCGCAAATTTGTTCTATTTCTGTTATTATTTCTTGGCCAGTCTCATTGTTCGACTTAATCTTTTTGGCAGCTTCGGCAGCCTTTGCTGCAAGTTTCTCAGCTTTCCCAGTTAGTCTCATTGCTATTGCTTTCGCTGGATTATCGTGTAATGACGTGACGAATTCTCGAAATGCCCGAAAAGCAATATTGAAACCAGTCATTGCTTTTGGGTCTTTAGTTTTATTTGATACAGCAATTTGAAACGATCGTATTGTTTTAGAGAATTGTTCTGCCATGTTGAGTGTGTTACTGAGACTGAAAGAAATTGGTTTCTTGCCTCCAATGTTACCACTTGAGAATGTGGAGCTAGCGAGTTGAGGGAATGTTGTTCCTCCCTGCATCATCGAACCAGTAAGCGTAGCAGCAGCAACGCTCGCGACTGTATCAGCTATTTTAAGCAAACCACGAGCAAAGTCTCGTAGAAACGCTGACAATCCTGTTGGTATATCATTAAGTGCTTGCTGATAAGCTGATTCAGCTTTGTTTGCTATATCGGTAGCCTCTTGATATAACTTCGCACGAAATTCTTTTTCTTTTTCCAAATTTGCTTTTTGTTCACGTAAAACTTCAAGTTCTCTTTCATTTTCTTCTACTTTGCTTTCGTGCTCTGACTGCGTTTCCGTTGTTGTTTCGATTACTTCATTAACTAGTAACATTACTTGAGAGAATTGATTACTTGTAGCGTTAGTTATTGTCACACATTCCTTTCCTGTCTCTTCTATATTATTTAACACTTGAGGAAGTAAACGATTGAGCATACGTCGCGGATAATTTGCAGCAAGAAGCTTAAGCGCCGTTTTAATATGTTTTGGTATTTGGATCATTCGCAACTGAATCGTGTTCATGGTCGAATGACCACTAAGAAAAGCATGATATCCCGCTAAAAAACGAATGAAAAATATTTACAAGATTTGTAGCAAGGACAAACTGTCTATACCAAATCAATCTCAAACAATAGAATGAAATAATTTGAAGATGTTTTCAAGATAATTCCCGTATATAAGTTAATTTTTCTTCGACTGAAAGGAAGGTCATACGAAAAGAAATAGTTTGTCTGTCTGTGTGTATGTGGCAGGGTCAGATGTCAAAGGCAAAAAAAACTTTTCTTCGAAAACTGTTTAAAACATTGAAAACCAATGTTGGGGTGGGTCTGAGTCGATGAGGGATGGAGGGGTGATGGTGGGGTCAAATGTCAAAGGTTGCATAGAAACATCAGTCCATATACAAAATTGACCAATCAGATATCGATAGTCAAAAATTCGATCAATCAAATGAGCGACGCCTCGAAACTGAATAATCTTGTGGCTTTGTGTTGTCAGAACCGTATGAATCTTTTCTAATAAGTACTAAACCCTACCCCTGCAATAAAGGACCCCGGATCTTCTTTTACAAGGCGGGATTTACTAAATGTACGTCCCTTTCCCGCAGAAATTTGGCTCCTTTACGATCAATCAATTGAACTAGTTGATTTTTTTTGTGAGGTATTTAGTGGGAAGAGAAGAGATGTTTGCGGTAGGTGATGAATACAACACGTAAGCTAGAGCAGTCGGTAATGGCGGACCGAAGAGATGTCGATGACCGACTGCGAGATGCATAAATGAATACATGTTTTTAAAACACTTTATCGGAACATTAGAATTAGGCGAGCTTCAGTCGAGGGTTGAGCGAGTCTGCCTCAACGAGCGTTATTTATTTATAGAGAAATACTGTGGGTGTGCGTGAGAATGAGGGTGTCTTTTTCTTTATGACAAATATCTATTCAGTCGAACGATCTACCTGGGATATACTAATAAATTTGTTTCTATTGCATCTTATCACTTACCAAATGATATTTGTAACAGAGTAGCTCGAAATGAATTGGGATTTCGAATATATATAAACTGGCGATCCGGTGAAAAAGCACGAAAAGAAACATCTTTCACGCTTGAAACAATTAGTAATTCTCCTAATAATTGTATAGTCATAGGTGCCACAATCATACACTGTTCCCAACTAGCATCGATTGCTGTTCTTTCTGTAAGAGCATTGATGACGGGTGTTTTGAGTGAAATGTCCACTTCTGAAATAAAACATCTAAATCCATGTAATAAAATAGATTATAGCTTACTTGGTGTTGCTCGTCTCAACCGAAGACCATACGTAACCGAACTGGCATCGACTGATCCCAGAAAAATAATCATTCCAATTGCTGCAGTATAAATAATTCTATTTAGACGATGCATTTCTCCTTCTATCATCTAAAATAGGAAATCATTTTGATCAATAGGAATCTTTTTTCGAAAATGAAAAATCGAGAATCATAAAAGACGAAAAATCCAGTTTATTACTCATCCAGTTGTGATTCGGAAAATGGGGTTTTCTCTGATAGCCTTGGGGATATTGGTATTATTTTGAGATTAATCTTCGGTATTGTAATCTGCATCAGTTCCAACAGTAGAGAGAGTGATATCCTCTTCGGAGAATGAAGCATTGATGTTTAAAAGAGGTAGAAGCTCTAATTTATCACTTAAGCGATCTAGAATTTGATCAACTTGGTTAATGATACTTGATGAAATTTGAAAATTAAAAGATGACATTAATCGATCTTTGATCATTTGTTCAGCGAGAGCTTTAAGTGGTTCGATGACAAGTTCAAAATCGAGGAGTTGTTTGATTTCAGTCCTAAGCGATTTAGAAGAGATGAGTATCGAGGACAAATGTACTTTAACAAGTTGAAACTGTTTCAATACAGATGAGATAGCTGCATAATTTGTTTGCATCTCGGCAAGTTGTGTCTGAAGTTGTTGTTTTTCTGCATTCGCATGATTTCGACGGATTTCTAAATTAGAATGTTGTGCACGTTTGTTGACTAGCTCTTGTTGTTTATTTGTTAGCTGTCGTTGTGCATTATTTAGTGCATTTTCTGTTAAATCTCTTGCATCTTTGGCTCTTTCAATACCACCCATGTTGGCAACACTACATACCGGTTTAATTATTGCAAACTCTACAGCTTGACTGATAGGCCGCTCAATATTTCTATACCACCAGCCTCCTATAAAACGCTTCTTTCGACGTCCACTCCGGCATAAACGTGCTTTTCTAACCCTGTCCCAAGCTGCGTCATGTTGATGTTGAGCATTCTGAACAGCCACTTCTTGTTCACGTACGAGTTGCTGAGCAAATGTGACTTCTTGTTCTGCGATATGTATGCTAGCTGCAAGACTCTCGATGGTGAGTTGTAATTTTTCAAGCTCACTCTCGTGTTGCGAAACATTTTCTGTTACCTCCATTATTCTTATATTCAAATTGTTGCGTAAATGTTCACATTCCAATGAAGCGTTCTCTAAATGTTTGTACACACTATTAGCAGCGATCCCTATATCATTTGCGAGTACTTTTAATCGATTCTGTTCATCGTTAGCTTGATCAATTGATATAACAGATGACTGAGTAGTGTCTACTGCCTTTGTAACTGGAATATCTTTAGTTATCTCATTGGTAATAATATCATCGCTCATCGTTGTTAATTCATACGAATCAAGTTCTGCCTCGTCAGCTAAGCGTACATTAATCTCCATATTGGACACACTTTTACTGCTCATATGATCACTGTCGTTATCTTCACTTGATAATGCTGCATATGTTGTCTCCTCGATTATACTTCTTTTTCGTACATTTTTTTCTTCTTGATCCGTTGTATTATCTTGTGCTTCGATTATGGATGAGTCTTCTTCAGTAATCGAAGCAATCTCGTCTAATTTCGAATCATTACCACCTACAATGACGGGAGTATACTCTTGACTAAGGTTGATTGTCGACGTATCAATATTCTTTGATTCAGTTAAACTTTCATCAAAACGCAGAATACGTTGTATGATGTCGTCGTGAAGTATTCTATAGGCAGCATTGTAGAGAGGCACCACTTTAGTAGTCATTTCATTTCGGTACCAATCGGCATCTGTTGCATTGCTGTAGGAAGATATCATAGTAGAAGGTATTGCGTTTTGATTCCCGTCGGAATCACGAAAACTGCTCCCTCGACTCAATAGAAGCAAATGTAGCAATATTGTCAATAACATATTGTTAGTGAATGATTTTTTATACATTGATTTTCTTATTCTTTATATATACACATGCATATTGTCTGTTCACTTCTCTAGACACATCAGATCATATTACATGGAAGTATATGAAATACTTAATGTTATTAGGAAGAGCATTGTATTACTAAAAAACAAGTTTTATCACTTCCTTTTTCGATCAATTACTAAGATTCATTTACATTGATACTTGAGTTGATCTAAATCGAAGTAACCTTTAAATATTGCGCAGGGAAGCAAAAAAGAAAGGAATGTATATCTAAATGAAGTTAGATATGATAAGAATGTTTAGATCTATTGTAGAAAGTGAGTCTAATCGATAATAAAAAACAATGCAAGCAGTATAGTAGGAGCACTTTAAGGTAAGAAACAATTTATCGATCAGGCTGTGGTTCAATTGAATTCAAATTCAATTAAAGATTCGATACTGAGAGAAATATAAAGACAATCTCTCCCTAATAACGACACAAAATGAGTACACCATCTTGCTTCAGTTGGTGTTCGTCTATTTCAATACTATTTGTAACTAATAGTACTGGCTACCCAATCCTCCTCTTTTTTCTGAAGTTTAACTGAAAAAAAGAAAATTTTGAACATTTCTTATTCTTTATTGATAATATCGTCGTTCTGACCAAACAATATATCAGCTTGTACGCGTAACGTGTTACTTCAGTGGCAGTTTGAAATTAATACTTTGATAAACCATTGTCACCATCGTGTAGAGAATAGTCGAAAGCATACAGAAACTAATTTTCTAATGTGAGCTGTCGCAAAAATTTGTTAATTGTCAATAACGATCGATGAAAAGGCCACATGTATGCTCTATTAGTTAGTCATATCCGTACATCGAAACAATAGCATGTGTGAAAAGTTAATAATTATCAGGTAACTCTACCTCGATAGACGTATCTTTGTATCAAATAATTGGCTTCCTATGTTTTACCGTATGTCTCAGAATCACTGTACAAAACTTCGATATTTATAGCGTCATCGTATTACGCTTGTACAAGCTGATATATGAAATTTCAAAATCTGAACTACAAGTGTGAAACAAGTAAAGTTAAATAGGACAGAGATATACTTTAAAAAATAAATTGAATTAAAAAGTGACCCAACCATACGGTTGATCCTTGGGCATTGAATTCTCATCAAAGTGAAATGAGACCCCTTCCCTCATTGTGAAAGAAATCTGTTACAGTGTCCTTTTAGCCATAGTTTTATTTGTCAACACTAATGATTGGTGTGTTTGCGCCGTGTTGTGCCATTGTGTCCTTTATCTCCCCTTCTCTTATAAATATTCAGTCTGATTTGTGAATAGGCCATTTTCTACTCGTCGAGAGCTACATCAACTCACTCTATACAACATGTGTCATCGCTCATTGTTACTTGGTGTTTTCGTTCTGTTGTTTGCTAACACCTGGTCACTTCGATGCTATGAAGGTAATGGCACTCATTGCAAACTAAGCGCTGATTCCAATGAGATCATTCCCGGTGTTGGTTATCTATGTATCAGATACAATACATGCGTACAAATGACGGATCTTTGTGACGACGCAACTCTGAATTCTGACAAATTTACTTGGCAATACCTGATAGCAGATCAAGCTGGATGCGACTACATAAGTAAAGCAACGTATACGGATGTTACTTGTTGTTCTACAGATCGATGCAATGCACCACTTGTTGGAAAATGTTTAGAAAATTGATAGTATTGTTAATCTCTGTACTGAATATGTTCAATAAAATTTCACTTGAAATATAAAAATCAACTTGCGTTTTTTCATCTTTCACCACATCACCTTCTTATACATTCTCGTTAGCATTTCAAATGCTAAACGTATGACTATAAGAGGATCACAGAAACTAGAGGCATCATTCATTTACGAAGTCAAAACATTGTCTTTACCAAAAAATGAATCTAACAATCGCTTTCCTTCCCGCATACCACTCTCAAATCCACTATCAACATAACCGATACATCCGTTATAGTTCGTATGTTCACCAGCCCAGCAGATACGACCATCGTGTGTTTCGCGAGATAGGTCTTTGACCGTGTTAAGATCACTACCAAGATGAAAACTCGAATATGAACCTTGGGAGAATGGATCGGATCCCCAACGTGTAATGAGCCATTTAACAGGATACGTCAATTTTGGATAAATTCGTTGAAGTGAATGAAATACTTCGCGGACAATTTGTTCGTCTGTTTTCTGCTCAAATCGTCTAGCCATCGAGCCTGAAATAAACAATGCTAACATTCGATATTCAGGTAAACAATAGTAGAATTGCGATTCATCTTCGACGATGGTTATCCGTCGTAATGTCGCATCCCAGAAGAGTTCAGAAAATTGAACGTAGACTTTATTTAACAAGCCAAAACCCATTCGATCAATTGCATCTTTCTTCCAAGTTGGTAGTGAAGGTTTAATCGAAATTGAATTTGATTTTAAACAACCAAGCGGAACTGTCAGAAGAACATACCGACATAGATAGAATTCATTGTTTTTTGTAGTTACGCGAACTATGTCGTTGGATGCGTCGATATCTGTAACAATGGAATTTAGTTTTATCGGCAGATTATATTTTGAAGCGATATGTTGAACTAGTGTACCCAAACCGTCAGTAATCGTTAGATCCGATTCGGGTAGATCACCTTCACCTTTACCATATAGTTTACTGGATAATTGTTTCATATCTGAAGCTTCATGACATTCAATATAACTCAAATTCGTCTTCACCAGTGATTTCAATCGTGAGTCGGAGATCGCTTCTAATTGAGTATTGACTAAATCAAACACGGATACGTCAAGGGCTTCATTAGGATATTCTTCGGCAGCTGCTAGTAAATCATCCGCACACTTTGTTGCTTTATTGATCAGTTCATCTTCGATTATAGCTCCGTGTTGATCGTATATAATCATTGTTGAATTATCGTAATAATCAGATTCGACAAAGTCCTTTTCAGATGGAACATAGAATTGCCGTAGAAAATTATTTTCTTCATGATGACAAATATAATGCGCACCATGGTCGAGCGGAATATCCTTGCCGAATGTTGTTATATCAGTATATGCTCTTCCACCAATTCGATTTCGTGCTTCTAAAATTAAATAATTGATACTTTTGGATGTCATCTTTTCGAACTCGATCCCAGCGCCAATACCGGCTGAACCACACCCGATAATAATCACATCGTAAATATCCATAGTTCTATCTCAATAGAAAATGAAACTTTCTCACTGACAAAATGAAACAAAAGAAAGTGACTGATATCTTGCTGTCACCACGTTGTTAATATTATTGTCTTATCATTTTGTATTCTCTACAGAGTAACTTGAATGTAAAATGTGAGCTCTCACGAATCTTTTTTAGTCTACATTCTTTTTGAAAACAGTGTGTATGAGTAATATTAGACTTTGTCGTTTTGTTTTTCATTTTCTGCTATCGATGATTGATGATGACGTGGATACACGACAAAATTTGTTTACACTACCGAATGTTTGATTTTAACAACGTTGCGACGAGAATGACGCACGTGTTTTAAATTACCTTTCACTATTTATCTACTTTTTCCTGAATACAATGCGTGGCATCCTTCATCTATTTCTGATCGTCACAACCTTCGCAGTTGTTGTTCAATGTCAAGGCGGTGGCGGTAGTCGTAGTTCTCGAAGTAGTAGCTTTTCTCGAAGTCGAAGAAGTAGAATTTTACTGTTTGATTTTGTCATCTCTGATGTATACTTATCTTTTATAGGTATCAGTTCTTATCGTTCATCAAGTCCATGCACAGGTGATGCATGTCCTCCTGAACACAATCCTACGATCGGATACGCAATTATAGGCACTGTAGGCATCGTATTTTTATTCATTGCCTATAAATCAATAACCAGTGGCACACCATCACAATCAAATACCGCTTATGTAAACTTGCCATCGACCGATAACCAAAATGTCGATAGAAATCCATTTGAATCAGGACTTTGGTCGAACCGGTATTATCAATACAACTCATGGCATGGACCTTTTCATTTTAGACTTTTATTCGATCCCGAAACACCAACAGTAACGGGCAATGGAATTGATGATGTCGGAGAGTATGAAATCGAAGGGATGTATTCGAGAAAAAGCAATCGAATGGGTTTAATCAAGAACTATCGACAAGGCACGGGTGATCGAACGCAAAATCTCGGACACAATGTGACGATTCAAGTGGCTTGGAACGAAACTCAGCAGCAGTTTGAGGGAAAATGGTTCGTAAAAACAAGCAAATACAGAGGTGAAGATAAATTCGAACTGAAATTTGAACAAAATATTAAAATGAAAGATTATTAAAATTTTTAACGGCAGTATTACTGTTTTTCTTAATTTGATTTGATGGTCCGCTTCATTGAACATAAGACTACTCCTTCTTAAGTGAACAGCTATTTTTGTTTCTCTTAGAGGATTTCCTAACGCATTCTGAATTTCGCTTGATTTTTTTACGTTGGACACACAAGATTATCGATAAAGTCAAGGTGTGTTAGTTCCCTATATATTTCCATGACGAATTGCGTGTGATCTGAAATAACCGTCGATTCACTGCTTTCACAGCAGATAAAATATTCGTCCTCTAAAACAACACTCAATTTCACGAAATGCAGTTATACATCAACATTGTTCGCTGCTGGAGAAAATTTGTTTCCATACCGTTCCGTTGGCTCTGCGCTAGCGTTGACAGATAAATTTGAAAAGAATTCGAATATAGTAATTTGATTGTTTTATTTTCATTCTCAAAGGTTATGTTCCCGTAATAGAATGCCACAGTGAAATAGGCAAATATAATTGGTTTAAACAGAGTTTGTCATCAGCTACCGAACGTTTTACACAAGTAATCTAGAATAGTACGAGACACTTGGGTGTTGGTCGAGCAGTTTCAAAGACGAATATCGTGGATGTCGTTGCAAACTATCTTCCAGGAAACGTTCGATTATGTCAAGCAATGATCGGGTAGAACTGCTCAGATGACCGATATTTGGCTCTGGGCATCAGCATAGACTATATCCTACTCTAATTAACATCATTGGCTGATCATTACTGTCAATAAATTTCATTATGTACGCTATACCATCGATGAAAAGTCATTGACATGATATTCGTTGACAATCATTCTAGCAAATGTGCTTCATGCGAATAACTAAAAAGTAGACAGTGTTGAACGAGGACTAACCAAACTATCATGAATGTTTCTCAAAAAGCTACTGAATACAAGTGCTTAGTATCATTGATTTCATGTATGATATGGTTCGTAGCTATTTGCAATTACTGTATCAGCTGGCATTCTTTAACGATATGTTATACGTTAGAAATTCAACAATTGAATGTTTAGTTGCTTGTGTCTTTGATAATATAGACTACAGTACTTCTTCACCTCCTTGTATTAGTCGAAAATGTCAAACTAACATCATGAGACTTGAAAACAATATACTTGTCGCCAGACGCACTTTCAATCAGATATATGATATTCGTCTGATTGAATCAATCACCGTTACCTTTTTAATTAGTAATATGTGAAACGGAAGCAAGTATGTACGTATATTATCAATCGTCTGATAGGTTTCTTGTCTTAAGTTGTCATGGTTGATGGTGGACATCAGTGAAATGAATATTTTCATACTTTTTGCATAATAACGACGGTATTCGTTTAATAATGCTACCACGAGTAGACGTATCAGACGTAATCGTTCACGCACACCAATACCTTGAGTTAGGAAAAAAATAATTCAGACAGAAGTGTCTTGTTTTGACTGCTGACACTTTTCCACATGAATAATTATCAACCAAAATGAATCATACACATACTGAACCCTGTACATTACTTGTATAGACTTATTTTCTCCTTCACGACAGGCAAGCGTCAATGAACATCTTTGCTTGTTTCTTAAATCTGAATTATATATTCTCTGTAGAATGCAAAAACAATTCGTTGTTTCATTGATCGTACTTTGTCTATCGGCATTTTATGCAGTCGGGTATGTTGTTGATGATCCTGATGAACGTCAACTAAAACAAGATCTTCGGCAACTCTTACGTCGAATGAAGTCGAAAGATGGTAGACGTAGCAATAGTGATTTCAAGAAAAAGGTACGATCGTTTCCTTCACATATGTATGAAGGATATGAGAGCGAATCAAAAGTAGCAGATAACGTTTGTCATTTTATCACGAACACATATCCATTTTTTTATTTTCTTTAATAATAAGTCAAATTGCTTTGCTCGTCTAATCAGATAGCAAGTATCCCGGAGTCTATCCAATGAAAATAGTTCTGAAAAAATTATTCTCTGTCGATAAACACGATCTATAATTAACGTAATATTTCAAATAAAGAAATCGAGTGAATTTTGAAAGTTATCTGCTGTTCATAGCATAACTAGTTTTGAAAGCTGATAGATGATCTAGTTAGATGATGTGTTGCTTTCACAAAATGATGTCGGACACTATTTTACCTCGTGCAATTACTCGAAAATGTTAAACTGACCCACGAGATTTGAAAACAACGCACTTTTCTGTCACACCCATTGTATCGAATTATACGCAATTTCAATCAAGTAAATAAATAATAGTCATGCGATAAAATCCACCGAATTTGGTTTTTCTCAAATGAAAAATATTGATGTATGTCAAATATCCATTCAAAACACAGTGAAAATAATATCATATTATCTACTCATCTTTTAACTATAAGAATAATTCGAAATGAAAGTAGATATATATGTATATCATCGATTATCGCGATGCATTTCTTGTCTTAAATAGTCACGCTTAGTGGTAGACATCAGTGAGATGCTTAATTTGATATTTTTTTATGATAAGAAGCAAGCCTGTGTCTTTTACCGCCACTCACAAATATTTCGGTGATCATTCAATTACTGTTATATTTTAAATTAGAAAAGAAAAGAAGATAGGTTGGTGGTGCTCTACCTTCACCACTCACGCTTTTCCACATGAATAATTAGCAGCCAAAATCAATCCTATATATACTCAATTCTGTATACTACATGTGCCTATTCACTTTCTTATTCACGACAGGTAAGTGTCAATCGACACATTTACTAGTTTCTCACATCTGAATTATGTATTTTCTGTAGAATGCAAAAACAATTCGTTGTTACATTGATTGCACTTTGTCTGTCGGCACTCTATGTTGCTGGATATGTTGTTGATGATTCTGATGAGCGTCGATTTAAACAAGATCTTCGAAAACTCATACGTCAATACCGATTCCAATACGGACGACGTGGTTCGGCTCGTTTCCTGACAAACAAAAGTAAATAGCCATTAGTTAGACTTTTCATTGATATAAGCATGAAAAATCAGTATGTGAATGGAAGCTAATGTTGCACTTCATTCGATAGATATTGGATTGCACACTTAGCCCGAAGGCGTAGCGACAAAGTGAAATTGTTTTCACTGCTTAGATGCCAACCTTGTCAGCTTATTCAAGAATTTTCAGTTCGATCTCTCACATTTTGTGTTATGGTTTCTAGGAGATGAAGAAGTGCCACTCAGCACATACCGACAACAAGCTTTAGATAAACACAACGAATATCGAAGTAAACATTGCGTACCGTCACTTCAATTGGACCCGCAATTAAACGACATCGCACAACAATACGCAGAAAAACTAGCTGCGACCGATACATTTGCGCACAGTGGTAATACATTCAATGGACAATGGATGGGAGAAAATCTTTACATGTACGGCTCATCGGGTTCCGTCTTGACAGGCACAGGTAATTTTTAACATAGTTTTAATTGGATAGTTCCATGTTTTTCTTCTTATATGCATGAAGGTGACGCACCCGTTACATCTTGGTACAATGAAATTGCTGACTACAACTGGAACAAACCGGGATTTTCAATGGCAACTGGACATTTTACTCAATTAATTTGGAAAGCGACAACGAATGTGGGTATTGGTCGAGCTGTATCAAACAGTAACCAGCTGTATGTTGTTGCCAACTACTTTCCCGGAGGCAATATGGAAGGTGATTTCGAAGCAAATGTACCACCATTATGTTGAGTCATTGCTTGGCCACTGGAAGGACATTGTTCTTGTTGGATACTAACATAGAGTACATTTTCTTATAACATTTAATAGTTCTCTGCACTATTCATTATTAGTAAATGATAATCGTAGTTATGTCTACCCCTACTAGAATGAATCTAATAAAGGCAAACAATAGTTTGAAATGTTTTCTAATGATCTTGTAATCAAGAGCACTGTGCAATACAGCACGTTTTGTACGGATAGATGTTAACGATTGTACTATACATGGCCGTATAAGATAATCGCGTCGATTTATATACTTAGAGAAAAGATATGGGTATGAATGACTTCAGCTACTATAGAATTCAACTTTAAATTTACCGACATAGTGAATAATGAATGTGTAGTTAAGCGATACGATATAGAGAAAGTAATCGAAACTACATGCTATAGTTGTAAAGTATGCTAGATATCCGTTCGATTATAGACTAGAATATTGACGTTCAAGTGTAGTGGATATTGTTTGCCCAGAATATTTCTCTAATGTCGTTAACTAACAGCAACGACTAGAAGTGATATATAATTTATCGACAGTAACCATTGGCTTTATACAAATTCATCTGTATAAGATTATTCTAGCTCTGAACGACTGTTCACATATTTCAACATTGTTTTTATGAGCTAGTATTCTTTCTATCTTCATGTTCTGTAAAATGAAATAACGAGATAATGACTGACACTTTCAAGATCAATCAGAAAGAATCCAAGAATATTTTCCCGGAGGTGTACGAGTAGACTTCTGCTGCAAATTCGCCTTCTAATTATCTTTCTCCATCTTTATCAAACTCCTGGACCTAATAGTGTTGATTCAGACGAACTGTTCTCAAGGGCTCGATATTTTATGCTTTTTCGTACTTCTGAATATATGGACTTTGAAACTATTAAAGAATTCAATGAATTGCGATCCATCAAAACGATTAGAGAAATGATTGCTTACGAAACACATCTTCGTTTATCTGAACCAATTCAAGAACTTATCGATGTATATCAGAAAGATGAAGTTTTTACTATACATAAGTTCAATTCATTCAGAAGTTTGAGAACTTCTTTTTGAATATTCTAACTGCATTCTCAACATTATTCAGCAGCATGTTGTAGAACATCTTCGATATCATGATGTGAATGAGTTGTACGCTGCTGTCTGCCGTTTTTTCAGAAGCGTCAGCAGTGAAAGAGCTCTTTTTTTTATAATGAGACCATTTGAAATTCAACCCCACTTTGTTTGGTCGCTTCTTCGTCGGAAACTCACCAAGGTGAATGTCTGCCGAACGAATGAAACATGTTTTTCTAGTCATTTACATCGCTGAGGCACACGCTCGTGACCAATGACCAGCCAGTAAAACGATTTTGTGCGTCGATCAACCAACGACGACTTGCTCATGATCAACAATACATCCATGACGTAAGATTCGAAGTGCTCGTGTTTGTTAACATTGATCTTTTTAAATATTTCATCGTCTTCATTGTAGTTTTCAGATTGGATTATCAAACATGTAATTGATGATGATGGTGAACTATACCAAGTCAGTAAGGTGAATACGCACTTGGAAGATAAATTTCTTTCATTTGTCTTCAATACTATCTCAAGCGTGATCAGACGTTTATTTTTCTTGAGTACAGCAGCTTCTCCCGCAAACTCAACCATAAATATTCCGCACAGGTTAAATCATTCATATGCTCAATTTGATTTGTACTAGAGATGCAATTACATCAAAACACACCGCCTTGGACATGTGCATAACAAATATGCTGCACAAACAACTGTTTCAATGGTTGCTGAAAAACATCATTTTCACGTAGTCCGTGAAACCGAGCAGAAAAATATTCATCGAACTACTGACATTTGCTTGTAATAGGCATGCAAAGTGTTACAAAACGGCAGAACAAAATATGTATCACTGATAGAAGAACATGCAGCATATTACTTTCAACGGCGTCAAACATGACGCATCATGTTTGTGCACTTTTTTCTTCCGTGAGTAAAATGGAGCAAGTGCTCTGAGGAAGAAAAAAGTTTCAAACGACGTCGCCGTTCTCTTGCGAAATACCTTCTCACTTGAGTAATATTTCATATTTACACACGTGTGTTTTATTCCTTATCGATCAATTTTTGTTGGAAAAGCAAGTCGACTATGGGAGCAGCGCCTTCAGATCATCAACATGATTCTGTAATGATACATAATGCTNGCATAAAACGCATATAAGACTATTGTAGTTTCAGTCAGTGGTTCAGTCGAGGGTATATAGCGAGTCTGCCTCGACGAGCGTTACTAGTATTTTAAATTAGAAAAGAAAAGAAGACAGGTTGGTGGTGTTCTGTCTTCATCACTCACGCTTTTCCACATGAATAATTAGCAGCCAAAATCAATCCTATATATACTCAATTCTGTATACTACATGTGCCTATTCACTTTCTCATTCACGACAGGTAAATGTCAATCGACATATTTACTAGTTTGTCACATCTGAATTATATATTTTCTTTAGAATGCAAAAACAATTCGTTGTTACATTGATCGCACTTTGTCTGTCGGCACTCTATGTTGCTGGATATGTTGTTGATGATTCTGATGAACGCCAACTAAAACAAGGTCTTCGAAAACTCATACGTCAGTACCGATTCCAATATGGAAGACGTGGTTCGGCTCGTTTCCTGACAAACAAAAGTAAATAACCATTAGTTAGACTTTTCATCGATATAAGCATGAAGAATCAGTATGTGAATGAAAGCTAATGTTGCACACTTAGCCCGAAACCGTAGTGACAACGTGAAATTGTTTTCGATGCTTAGATACCGCCTTGTCAGCGCTTATTCAAGAATTTTCAGTTCTTTCTCTCACATTTTGTTTTATTGTTTCTAGGAGATGAAGAAGTGCCACTCAGCACATACCGACAACAAGCTTTAGATAAACACAACGAATATCGAAGTAAACATTGCGTACCGTCACTTCAATTGGATCCACAATTAAACGACATCGCACAACAATACGCGGAAAAACTAGCTGCGACTGATACATTCGCGCACAGTGGTAATACATTCAATGGACAATGGATGGGAGAAAATCTTTACATGTACAGTTCATCGGGTTCTGTCTTGACGAGCACAGGTAACTTTTAGCGTAGTTTTAGTTGGATAGTTCCATATTTTTCTTCTTATAAGCATAAAGGTGACGCACCCGTTACATCTTGGTACAATGAAATTGCTGACTACAACTGGAACAAACCGGGATTTTCAATGGCAACTGGACATTTTACTCAATTGATTTGGAAAGCGACAACGAATGTGGGTATTGGTCGAGCTGTATCAAACAGTAACCGGCTGTATGTTGTTGCCAACTACTTTCCCGGAGGCAATATGGAAGGTGATTTCGAAGCAAATGTACCACCATTATGTTGAGTCATTGCTTGGCCACTGGAAGGACATTGTTCTTGTTAGATACTAACATAGAGTACATTTTCTTATAACATTTAATAGTTCTCTGCACTATTCATTATTGGTAAATGTTAATCGTAGTTATGTCTACCTCTAGTAGAAGGAATCTAATAAAGGCAAACGATAGTTTGAAATGCTTTCTAATGATCTTGTGATCAAGAGCACTGTGCAATACAGCACATTTTGTACGGATAGATGTTAACGATTGCACTATATGGCCGTATAAGACAATCGCGTCGATTTATATACTTAGAGAAAAGATATCTTCATGTGTAGTTAAGCGATACGATATAGAGAAAGTAGTCGAAATTACACGCTAGTTGTCAAGTATGCTGGATATCCGTTCGATGATAGACTAGAATATTGCCGTTCAAGTGTAATGAATATTGTTTGCGCAGACAGTAACGATTGGCTTTATACAAATCCATCCGTAGATTAGTCTAGCTCTGAACGACTGTTCACCTATTTTATCATTGTTTTTGCGAGCTAGTATTCTTTCTATCATCATGTTCTGTAGAATGAAATAATGAGATAATGACTGACACCGCAAGAAGACTTCTGGTTCAAATCCTCCTTCTATCTTCCTCCATCTTTACCAAATCGCCCGACCTAATGGTGTTGATTTAGACGAACTGTTCTCAAGGGCTCGATGTTTAATGTTTTTTCGTACTTCTGACCATATGGACTTTGAAACAATTAAAGAATTCAATGAATTGCGATTCATCGAAACGATTCGAAAACTGATCGCTTACGAAACACGTCTTCGATTATCTGAACCAATTTAAGAACTTATCGGTGTATACCATAAAGATGAAGCTATTATTACGGAAGTTCAATTCAACCTCACTTTGTCTGGTCGCTTCCTCGTCGGAAACTCACCAAGGTGAATGCATACATGTGATGTAAATCTATTCTCGAAAGTTCTCATCGACCAGCTGACCATAGTTTCAGGCGTCTGCCGAACGAATGAAGCGTGTTTTTATGGTCATTTACATCAATGAGGCACACGCTCGTGACCAATGGCCAGCCGGTAAAACGATTTTGTGCGTCGATCAACCAACGACGACTTGCTCATGGTCAACAATACATCCTGGAAAACATATTCAATCTCACATACAGATCATGACCGTTCTGTTTCTACGTAATCTACGGCGGCGAATTAGTTGTCATAGCCGTATTAGATACATCGTGATCAGACGTTTATTTTTCTTGAGTACAACAGCTTCTCCCGCAAACTCAACCATAAATATTCTGCACAGGTTAAATCATTCATATGCTCAATTTGATTTGTACTAGAGATACAATTACATCAAAACACACCGTCTTGGACATGTGTATAATAAATATGCTGCACAAACAACTGTTTCAATGGCCACTGAAAAACATCATTTTTACGTACTCCGTGAAACCGAGCAGAAAAACATTCATCGAACTACTGACATTTGTCTGTAATAGGCATACAAAGTGTTACAAAACGGCAGAACAAAATATGTATCACTGATAGAAGAACATGCAGCATATTACTTTCAACGGCGTCAAACATGACGTCTTGCGTTTGTGCACTTTTTTTCTTCCGCGAGTAAAACGGAGCAAGTGCTGTGAGGAAGAAAAAGTTTTCAAACGACGTTGCCGTTCTCTTGCGAAATACACTCTCACTTGAGTAAAATTTCATATTTACACACGTGTGTTTTATTCCTTATCGATCAATTTTTGTTGGAAAAGCAAGTCGACTATGGGAGCAGCGCCTTCAGATCATCAACATGATTCTGTAATGATACATAATGCTCAACATGCAAAGAATTTTGCAAGAGATCATGG